AATGTTTCATCCAGGCAAAAATTGTATCTTTAAGTAGGAATAAACCTGGATATCTCTTCTGTGCTCATCGTGGCTGTCTTCCTTCTCTCTTGATTCAAACTTACTTCATCTGCTATGATTTGAGATATTGGTCATTCTTCTAGTGCAGATTTTAGCCATTTTATACATTGCAACCATCTTGTTTCAGTAAGATATCAAACAGAACTTCCTCTAGATGGAATATCTGCTGAATTAAGGTTTCTCAACATGGGGTGCCAGTGATCAGGGTGAGACAACTCTCTTATTTCTTGTACCCTATGAATGTTTATTTCTTTTGATCTAACTTGAGGCATTCCTAGAATTAGTCCAGTATTGGATTTTGAAAGTCTGGTCTTTTGAGATTGTTCTTAACAGTAACTAAATGAGCAGCAGTCAGATGCCCTAGGAGCTCCAGCATGAGAATTGTGATTGTCGGTAATAGAGTTATTCTATTTTTAATTCTAACAAATTTGCAAGTCATGGACTCTTCAGTTTCTGTTAGCATAAAAGTGCAGGTTGCATAAGCACTCTTGTTTGCATCAACAAATGTATGTAAATTGCTGTATATTATGAGAAAAGTTCTCTTTATCGTACATCTGGGAATGCAAAGGTCTTTCAGAAATGTTATCTTGAGTTTGTCAGTTCAAAAACTACTTCATTCCATGGTAATGTAATTCTTCATCCCATGGTATTTTTTGTCAACATACTTTTAATAGCAATTTTGGCAGCATGATCATACAGTTTCTAAAGGGCCATAAATTTTTTGCACTATAGCTGAAATTTTTTTTTTTTTTTTTTGGAACTGGATGATCTACAGTTTGACAATAAGTGGAACTGAAAAACAATGCATCCATTGTTAGATCCTGCTTTAGTCCTAAGATAGATGGTTAGTTTTCTTCATTTAGGTTCTCGAGTCCATTATTATTCTAATTTGGAAATTCAACACTCTCTAACATGGAGTAACTGCTTCACCATCTTCTTAAATCAAATTATTATGAAAATAATAATTCTCTAGATTGTTCAACAAACAATTCTTTAACACTGCAAAAACTAGTGAAACAATTGTTGACATAGAAGGAGTCCATTAAAATCAAAGCAATGTCTTTAAATTGAGGACAAGTATTCTCTAAATGTGTTTTAACATGGCATTCAACAGAAAAGGACTGAATGTAAGTCTAAAAACTAAGTGACTCTGTCTATGGACTTTTAACCTATTTGGATTATGTGTTCCATCCAGAGAAATTTAAGGTAGTTTCTGGTACTTTAGAAATACTAATTTATACCTGCTTGGTTTTATATCTGCTGTAAGAGCAAATTATTTCATGTGGAAACAAATTAATATCGCTAGAAGGAGTTCCATAAGATTTAGGCCTTTGGTCTGGCTGAAACTCAAGAGATACTGAATTTCTAGTATACACAGAGGCTTCAAATATGGGCCTAATTTTCAACTGTTGTTCATTCTTAACCACTGCTCAGTGAGATCATTACATAATCTTTTTTTAGTTCTTTGATTATCCTTCTCTTTAAATATGTGTGTAAGACTTTGAGATAGGTTTCCAAAATGTTACTGCTTTCAGTCTCTTAATGGTAGTGCACAATCTTCTTTCAGCTGAGTATTTGCCTTCATGGAGTGTGGTATGTAATTTGAGCTAAGATAATGTTACTTTAATTTCCTTCATCATTAACTTTAAGTTGAAAATGTTCAGGTGCGACTTGGTGTAATTCCACAGCTGTTTGGCTTTCAACTAGATCTATAATACTACTGTCCACTCTAAACTCTACATGTCTGGGAGGTTAATATCATGGTCAGAGTTTTGACTTCATGTGAGGGATGGTTGATACCATCAGTTTAAGGATCTATCTGCGTTACAAAGATCTGTCATCCATGGTCATGGTGGTTCTTCGTTTTGCTACTGCATACTTTTGCTTGTTCCAGAACTTCAAAATTGCAGCTATAATTCTCATCTAAATTAGTCAAGTATGCTCTAAAATAGTGTTGCTTCTGCTGAGGAGATTCAAGACCACGAAATAAACTGTGAATTTTAGGTATCGCTCCTATGTGCTCATAATTTAATAGCTTAACTGCTTTGTCACTAATATAAATATGATGAATTCCTGTACCATTATAATGTATTTCTCCCATCTTCTGGCGAGCCTTCATGGTGGGGTGGTCTGGGCCAGTATTCCAGAGGTCCGTGGTTCGATTCCCGGCGAAGGCTTTGTTAATTTTTCGTCTTTCCTGCTTCCAAAAATACCGAATGTCTCTACAGTGGCGTCAAAACTAAAAGGGTGGTGGATGATGATTTCTTTCCACCCAAGATTTGGTGAATGGGTCACCTAAAAACCTCAGTCGCCCTTTAAAAGGGGGGTATGTAAGGTATTTCTCCCACCTTCTTGGCGTGCCTTTGTGGTGGGGTGGTCTGCACACTTGGCCGGTATTCCGGAGGTCCGCGGTTCGATTCTTGGCGAAGGCTTTGTTAATTTTTCATCTTTCCTGCGTCCAAAAAATATCTACCTCTACACCGTAAATGGTTGCTATGATAGATATATCTACCATTTTTATCCCTAAGATAAACTTGCAATGTTTGTAACAGTACTCCTGGGGACTTAAACTGATTTGTAAGAGTTTGACCTTTAAATTGGGCACAGTTCAAGATTCTTTAAATTGGGCACAAATCAGGATTTCCACTAATTTCTGAGCATCTAACTGTTGATCCATATGAAGAACTTAAACACATAACAGTACGATGAAGTTTGCAGTAAAAAAAAAAAAAAAAATTACTTTACTACTGCACTGCTTCAAAACATGACTCTTTTTAACTCAAGAAAAGCAATTTTTCATATAGGCTCATTATATTTGCATTATTGCAATCTTGAGAATTATGTTTTCGATCACAAAATATACACTTGTTTCATTGTAACTATTTGCATTCAAAAGATGAGCTGTGGTCGTGATATCAGATTTATTTTCATTAAAATTCCACTTATCTGATCGTCAGAGGGTTTCCTTTTTATTGTCGAACGGATTTCTAGCAGTCAGATTTCTAGTCTAAAATTCCACTTATCTGATCTTCAAAGGGTTTCCTTTTTATTGTCGAACGGATTTCTAGCAGTCGCAGTCAATGTTTCCTTTCACTTCTGATTTAAAAAATTTCATAAAAACAGCTAATTTATTTAATTCCTCGTTTTCTTTATCATCATAAAGAGAAATGATATGCTATCTTATCACTTAGTTTTATGAAGTTACATTTATAATGGTTCAATACTAAATAATTATATATATGTAATGATAGCACAACATATCTAAATAGTCGATGATATAATATCTTTTAGAATGATTAATTTGTAGATACTAATTTACAGAAATCCAACTGAGGAATAAATGTTCCATTGAGGTTAGTAGCATAGTCCAATCCTGTATGACTAATAAATGTAATATTAACACAATTTTGGAAGCATTGAATGTAAGAAGACTATGACGTAGATATGCAGAGATGCTGATGACATAAATACTTGATGCTTAGAGCATCCATCCATTTTAAAGAAGAAGCAGTCGGGCTGAATTAAATTTCTTATTTATTTAAATTCACGTTTTGTGTTTACAATTCACTTAGCCAATGCCAATCTTGCCTATTTTCAGAACAATTTTGATACTATTTTGATATAAGTGATCATTGCAGTGTATAGATGATTGCAATGAAGTGTCTTAACAGGATGAAAGCATAAGCTAGAAGAGAGTCGCAGTACTTCAGAGGAAGGAGGGAAAGTCAAGTTTCATTTCGAGTTAGTTTTGGTTTACAATTATTTTGATTGGGCAAGAGATATTTGCAGTAAGCGTTACGTAAGATCGCATGATTAATCTGAATGACGCAGTTTAGAATTATAGTGCTATTATTAGGACAGGGACAGAAAGATAAAAGTTCCCAAATGAAATAAAAACGAGGAGGGAGGTTATAGAGAAATAAATATAGAAGTTTGCTTTTTTATATTTTCTATCTTGCATATATATATATATACACACTTCAGCTAATTCTTTACCAGAATGGGGCTTCATACATTCAATCATTGAAGGATAATTATCTGATGTGGGTGGAAAACGTTCCTTAAGGTCAACTCAAAACCCAGGCATCCTTTATCAAACCATCACATTTTTGTAGTTGGGTTAATTTAACACACCTTTTATATACCACTTCAACTGAAGAATCATTACTAGATGTTCTGTAACGTAGTTCTTTTCGCAATCATTCAGCTTTCGATTTCATTGATATGTATGTGTCAGAATAAGAATTTATTTTTTCATATTCTGGACCAAACATATTTAGATCTAATTTTGGTCTATTGATAAATGATCTAAAATATATTGGTTCATGGCTTCTAACTTAAAAAATTTATATGCAAATTTATAAACAAAATATTGTGTGCAAATTGAATGCTTAATTAGCAGAAGGGGAAAAGGAATATTCTAATCAAGTATTAGTTTAAAAATTATTTGATCTTTTAGATATTTCTGGTCTTCTTGTTCATAATTTATTTCATTATTTTTTACATACTTTGGAGTACTACAACTATCATTTGTAGTGTAAAGTGGTGGGATGAAGGAGTAGATAAATTAGAGCAAAAACTGAAAAGGTTTCACAACCCCAGTCAGAATATAGACCCTTGATTATATACTACTGTCAATTCAGGCTTTTCTGATTTTTATTCATCTTGTTATCTGACTAAATTTTAATGCTCCTGTACAGGGTTACAGTTCTTTATTTGAATACCAAATGCCATAAAGCATTACAATGATTTTCTCGTCAAAGTTGAATCATTTTAAATTATGCAAGAAATTGTGAAAGGACACATTTGTATTTTTGGACGAAAGACTTTCTGATTTTTTTTAAAATAAAAGTTTAATATGAAGTAAAAATAATAAATTATATTCTGTAAAATTTGAAGTTTCTAAAAACGTAATTTAATTGAACCTTTTTCTTTTCTAGAACACTGTGTGCGCATAAGTGTCAGTATTAATTTAAAATGTATCCAGGCATTTCTTTTTGTAAAGATTAAAAAGGTGAGCTTGGCTTCCTTTTAATACAATTGTGATTTCTTATAAAATTGAAGAAAATGTTTATGCCATCTGTTTACATCTTGATTTTTATAACTATTAATGTTCTTCATAAATATCATTTTTCTTATACCTAAGTGATTATACTGTTAATACCAAAATTATTGTATAATAAATTGTAAGTACTTCATTGTAAATATTTATATAAACATAAATTATTGTTGTACTTCATAAATATCATACTTTTTATACCTAAATGTTTATTCTTCTTAGACAATTTGATATATTTTTGTAAGGATAATTTGTTGCTAGTGGACAAATCTTACCTAATTTTTTATACCCTATCAATTTACTGTAATTATTATTACATTTTCCAATGCAATTACATTTTACATTACAAGTTAAAATTTGGAATACAAAATGTAATTCCTAACAATAAAAATATTTAAGTTTTTCTCCATATCAGTGATTTACAATCCACTGTATGTTTATCTAAGAGTGTAAACTGGGAGATTTAGAAATGCATTAGAGGGGAATCATTTTGAGCATTTCAGATTGTAATTAAAAACAAATTAGTGCCTCATTTGTCATTAAAAGTTAAAAAGAAATTAAAAATTCAATTATTAAATGTAAAAGAGCATAAAAATTTAATGATTCTATACATTTAAAGCATTAGAAACATATATTATTGATGATAAAACATTTGTGAATGTTCATAGGAATTATTAGTTAGATATATATTAAATGAATTTTAACTTTTATCAATTAGATACATTAGAAAAGAAATAGACAGATCAAATATTCTGTCTCTAAGATAATCACCTTTACAGAAGACCAAAATCAAGTAGTACATAAGGTGATCATTTTAGAGATGAGTCACTGTGTTATATATTGGGCCATATATAAAATTTTGTTCGAAAATGTGGTTTTTTGGTACATTTTCGAACAAATTTTTTTTTTATTGAAAATCAGTTTTAATATTGGCCATTATTATACATGACCTTTTGCCATTTTTCGGGTACCTTTAATTCTATTGGTGTAGAATTTCTGTAGTTTCTCGTTGAAAAACTTGGCCAAGTGATTTTCAGTGGCTGTTCTGTCGGCCCAGTTTTTACTGTCAAGAGAAGTTTTGCAGAGACCGAAACTAATGGTAGCTAGACGGTGCAAGGTCCGGGCTATATGGTGGATGCATCAAAACTTCAGTTAGTTCCTTCAGTTTCAAACAAAGTTCTTTCAATTTGTTCCGAGTCATCAAAGATGTACATAGCCGCACATTGTCATAATGGAACCCAACACCCTTTCTGTTGGCCTATTCTCGTTGCTCTTTCTGGATTGCTTTGTGCACAGCATTTCGCTGATGGTAATTTGGTCAATCAAATTTCTGTGTGTTAATTTGCGTGGCACCCAAACATCGAGCTTCTTTCTGTAGCCTGCTCTTTTCAAATGATTCCAAACTGTCATATGGTTGATGTCTAGTGCCTCTGCTGTTAGTGCCTGCATGCTGGTCTTGCTGCACCACCAGCAAATTTTGCAAAATTTCATCGACTTTTTCAGTGACTGTCCGACCAGAGTGAGGAGCATCTTTAACATCGAAATTTCTGGAATGGAATCAAGCAAGCCACTCCTATGTCCATCATTCACTCACAACATTCTTATCGTACACTTCACAAATTTTTGGCCATGTTTTTGCAGCATTTTAAACTTTTTTTAATTGTAAAAAAGCATCACATAGCTTATTTCTTCATATATTTCACTCATTTTCAAATCAGTCTAACTTTTTTTACATTAGCAATGAATTAGAAAACTATCTTCACAAACATTGGAAGCTGACACATTTTGATAGTATTTTGATGGAACTGTCGTAACAGTTCCATACAAATCGAAAAATGGGACACTTCCGCATAAATGAAACATTCATTGAGTGATGGATATTAGCAATTTGTATAGTTTAGTGACATTTATGCCAAAAAGCGATTTTGATTATGATTTTGTTTTATAAAATTCTAAGCTGTTGAACTACAAAAATATAGATTTTAGCTAAAATGTCATGCTTAAAGAATGAAAAATACCTTACAGTACCTTAAAAATTGTATACGTCGTCTTATGATACCCTTGATAGAGTATTCACTACTTTTATTTTATGTTTCAAACACTACAATGTTTCAAATAAAATAACTTTTTTTTTTGTCATCCACATATTATTGTAACATGCACTTTAAAAAAATTTTTAGAGGAGAGCCTTAGTTGCTCATTTTAAAATCATTTTATTTTTATATTTGAAAAATAATCACTTTTGGGCTTACACTTTGAGTTAACTAAAAAATAAAATTACCACCAAATTCTGCAATCCTCGTCAAAATGAATAAATATACACACAGGTATGCCAATTAGGAAAACTTCATAAAACTATTAACTGTTATATATAGGAAAAATTTTTATTAATCATTTCAAAACTGTGCTTAATTATAAACTGATCAGATAATAATCATAAGCATTCTATATGCTGTTTCAAATTTAGTGGTGAAATTTAATGTTAATTAAATTCCTTTTTTAGTACTGTTGCCCAATTTGTTGTGATGATACTAACAAATTACATATACTTATTTACAATTTTATAATAGTACGAATAATTTTTATGTAGGTTTTTATATCATTACAAAAGTATGTTTTTGGCTTGTATTCATTTTTGGACTTTTCTGTAATTATAGACTTTTCTTTAATAATGAACTACATGAACTAATTAATTTTATATTTCAATATGTAAGGACATCTATTCATTTACCACATAACCATTACCACATAACATTACACATACCATTTCATAAAAAATTAGTTTTTTTTAATATTGAGGTAATTAAAATAATTGACTTTGGATTAAAGTTAGTCAATAAACAATTTATTAAATGGCTAAAATCCTATTTTTGGCCTGGAGATGATTTTGTAAAGAATAAAATGAAAAAAAAGTGTGTAATGTAATTTATATAACTTTACTGGAAAAGCACCTTTTTATAGTTTCTGCTTTCATTTGAAACAAGCATAAACTGCTATAGAGATGCAAATAATTTTTTAAATGGATGAAATTCTTTGTTTGAACTGGTTTCTTTCATTTCTATTCAGATAAATTTGTTTCATATAAAAGCGCTCTTTAAATTATAATTTAATTCGGATGGGTAAAATTTAATGTATACCATGCAGTCGAAAAGTGTACGGTTGGCGTATTTTGTGGTTGCTATAATCCGACGACATGAACATTGTTTCTCGCTCTTATTTTTTTTGGTGGCTCTGAAATAACTGAACCAATCAGATGCGTGGAAGGGGTTGACGCCGGTTGATCGAAGGGAGCCGGCGCACAGCTCACTTCTTTGCTGTTGAATAGATTTTCCCACTTAGGTTCGTTTTTGCGGGTAATAAAATGGCGGATGCCGTGTATCTCAACAATTTTTTTTCCGAAGTTAAAAACGCTGGAGTTCTTGGAAATTGCTTAATTTTGAAAGAAGGACGTAAACATTTATTATTACATGTATTAAACTGAGGAAGAAAAGTTTGACATAATCGTAATGAGGTTTATAAAATATTTCTGACTTATGAACTTTCGGTTCCGTTAGTGGTTGCAGCTTTTAATTTAAATTCTGATTAGACAACATAGAACACTTAAAGTACGTATGTACTAGTGGTAAGTTAAAGTAGATTTTTTTTTTTTTCATTTAGAACGGGTATCTCTTGACAGCAGTTTTAATAATTCGTTGATCTTAATGGATGGAGTTGTCCTTCCCGAATAAGCGAAAGAGACCACGTGATCTGTGTAGATCTGCGCTATTCGTAAGTGCATCTGAGCGAAGGATGGAATAATTGCCTGAAATGTGCGTTACCATGTTCACATTAACGTGTGTTAATGTTCACATTTATTCAGTGAGTTTCATTTTTATTAAAAAAGTTTTAATAAGTAATTTTTTAAATCTTATTATAACCCAAATTGTCACATTCTGTTTTTTTTTTTTCCCATGCTGTGGAACAATCGCCTAGTTTTTGTGGTTATATTTTGGTGTTGAGTTTCAATATTTCATAATAGACTTTGTCGCGCATCTTTTTTTTTTTTGTGTTTGTGTGCTTGCATTATGAGACAAATTAGTTTTAAGCTGTTGTCAGTTTTCACATACTTTTTAGAAGTTTAATTTTTTTTCCTGTTACTTACGTTATTTTTAATAAAATAATCATTAATTTTCAAAAATATACTTAATTAAAAAATATGATTTTTGTTTGAGTTGTTAAATAACATTTTTTAAAAGTGTGTTTTTAACAGAACAAAATGCTTTAAAAAATGTTATTTCATAGAAAAATAGGAAATGGAAAATCCTTTCTCTCCCATTTTTAATTTTATGAGTTAAATTATGTTTATGAGTTTGTTTCTATCACAATTTTTATGTTTTGCTCAAAAAATGATTTTGTAACAGCTTTTTCAAAATTTCTGTATGTTTTTACTTCTGATATATAATTGTTCAGGTCATGTGTAAATGATTTATCTGATTTACCTTTAGCTATACTGTTTGCTTGAATAAGAAAAATTTTCTATGAAACATTTTATATTTATATTTCATTTTATATCATTATTACTTATATACATATGATAATTTATATTACAGTTATTTATATTAGTATCATTTTGTTAAGTGTCTTTCTACATGAGCTGAAAGGGATTTTAAAATAAAAATATTCGTCTAAGCTTACTTACGTCTGTCAGTAAATCAAATGTATGTGTATGTACAATGAACATATATTAACATTTGTGTTTTTTTAAATCTCTCCTGCATAAATTGAAATATTATTAATTTCTGTATATTATTAATACAGTATATTATTAAATTAATGCAGTATATTATTAATTTCTATATATCTGAACTTTGATTGATGCTGCTAGGTAAACAAATAATAAAATGCCATAAGGAATATATTGAATACAGGCATTTGATATATTACATAAGTCATTTATATTAAATATTTACCCTGAAAGTAGTTTTCTTTTGTGATTAAGTCATGTATTTTTATAGTTTAACATATGCAGGAAACAGATAATAACAATAAAAATAACCCAACTAAATTTTGAAATAAGCCATAAAACTGAATAAAGATACCAAACATCATGAAGAAATGCAGTGTAAGAGAGGGTTTGGTTGTGTATAAGTTTTAAAAGAATGATGTGCATGTGTTTTTGTCGTAAAATTTAGTGCATATCGCTGAAGGTTAACTTGAAGATACTGCAGAAAAGAAAAATAACAACTCCAAGAATTTTGAGTGTTGGTATTATATTCTCTTTAATGTGCAGCATTTGCATACCTTTGAAGAAAATAATTAAAATATGCTTTTAATAAAAGAATGCTACAAGAATAATGTAGTATATGTTAAATATTTGATATATTTTAACTTAAATGTGTTTTTGTTAGTAAACTAGTGTGAAATAAATATTATTTGCAGTGAAAAGAAGGATTGCTTTTATGACATCAATCAATATTTGATATATTTTTAAATACTTTCTGGTTATCCATATTTCTCCTTTCGATATTCAGTAGAATAATTATGTTTTTGGCTTCTTTTGTAGATTCCATAGGCAAATAGCCAAGCCATGCATTTATGTATTACAAATTGTTTAATCCATGTGGGTTTTTACATGCTTCATATTTAACTGTCATTCTGCTGATCAGCCTCCTCCTAAGTGCATTTTATTTTTGATTGTAACAAATTATGGGAATGTGAACAGTATTGCTGATAAAAAAGAAAGCCTTAGTTTGCTTGAGAATTATGAAAAGTATCTATGAGCTTTACAGCTCCAACCAGCTAAAGGTTTTAAATGTTTCTTTGGTGGGACACAGGATTACGCAATCTAACAAGCGATTTTCCAGTTTTCAGTCATCAGTAAGTTGATGATTTTCTATAGGGGAGTGGATAATTAGGAAGTACCTGTTTTTATTATGCTTAGTTACTTTATTATGAGTTATGCTATTTATTTATAAATAATAATTAATTATCATCTGTTAACAGTAGTGTTTTTTTATTGTAGGCAGCCAGTTAACATGGGTAATTAATGTATATCGTTCACTTTAGCACTTAGGTGCTATGGCTGTTACTCTTCCATCATCATCTGTTGCAACTACTACAATTTCATGCTTATCACCACAACTGCCTTTAATATCACTTCGTGAAACTGTTGCCAAAATAAATATGCCAGCTGTAGTCCAAGCTTCAGTTGTGAATCCACAAGTGACAATTGCTTCTACTACAGTGTCATCTGAAACTGTGTATAATTTAACAATAAGCAATGGGGAAATTCACTCAGCTACCTCAAGTGCTGTACCAAAAATTGCAGTTCCTCCTGTTGCTGCATTAGCAGGTATGATAAATAAGCAAGCATATTTGTATTAATTTTTTGTCTATTCTGTGTAGGGCAATGAATTGGTACCGAATAATCATATCGTTACTTCTTTTAATTATTTATTTTAATTAATAGTTCGTAAGTTATGGCCCCTTGGAATGAAAGAATGACCCTGCCTGCAATTTGGATCAACTTGTGTGAATGGTTGATTAGCATGATTTGATTTGATTGAAAGATGCAAGTCTATATTATGTGTATAATCAAGTGAATATTTACAGTTTTCTTTCGAAAGTGTTGGTTAGTTTGGTGATTGTGGTGAATTTGAATGATGAGAAAATATTTGTAAGGGCTCATATATGTGTTGGATGTTGGCTAGAAAGTACATTGCTTATTTTGTGCTTTACACTGTAAAATACGTGCTGGTGGTATGATTAACCTGAAGTTTCTGTACACTTTAGAACGATTGGGAAAGAAAACATTGATTGACTGGTGTATAAAGGAAAATTTAAATGACTTCGTTCACCTCAGTAAATTACGCAGTGAGATTTAAGGATTTGGAAACTGGAGCTCATATCATCGCCATGGAAAGTATGTGGGGTAAAGGGTTTTCGAAAGAAACGCTATCGACAGTCGAGCAGTGCAGAGAATATTTTTCATTTTTACTTTTGTGAATTTATGTGGTGACGGCAGTATACAGATTCGAGTTTAGATAATTTTATTTATTTATTTTTTGATTCTGTTAATGAATTCTGTGTGTCTCCCATACTGAAGAAACAAATTTTTAAATAAGTCGATATTTCCTTTTTATATTGCGTATATTACATAACATGTATTTCCAATCTTTCCTTGTTTGATTTAAAATGCAGTTTATTGAGATTAATATTTTTTGTTTTAATTATGTTTTGGACGCTATTTTACTGGGGAGTGCTTTGGACGTAAACAGAAATAGTGCCAAAAAATCGCCAACTTCCGCCAAGGGGTACCCTGAAATGTATTTTTACCAAAGTATTTAACCCTTCTGTGGTTGCGAGATTAAGCAATTCTTTTCTTCCTAAATATGCACAGTATCTATTCTGTTTTAAATTTTTCATGTCCGTAATTGTAAATGTTCGCTTGTAACTAGACTGTGAGCTGAAGTCATTGATGACCAACAAAAATTAAGTAACCACAATTTTTTACCATGTTTATATGTTTCATATTGTCCCACGGGCCAGTAATGCCTCCTAGAATACTTCAGTGCCTATGGATGGGCAAAAATGCTTATTTTAATTTTGATAATGCCAGTTTTAATTTCAGGGTAAACATAAATATATAAGGTACTTTTCTATTTCGCCAGCGCAATCTCGCCAAGCAGACTTTATTGGCGACCACATGCAGTATACACATAAAAAATGTTAACAAATGTTAGTTCTAGATTTTTTTATTTTGAAGGCATAAACATTTTAATATCGTTTAAAATTATATAAGAAGCTAATAAATAAATAAATTTGTAAAAAAAAAATTAATTTAAGAACTTACTAAGCTTTCATGGTTCAACATCCTGATTCGCCGGTTCCTATCACGTGACTCGAGGTGATCTCATCGAACGTAGACTACGCTACAAAAATCTAATTCTCTCAGTAATTATCTACATGAATTTCAAGTTAAATCTTAATTTGGAATACAAGTTTAAATGCAAGAATTATTTCAATTTGTACGAACAGCTTACTAAAAAATTATGTAAAACCTCAGTACTTTACTTCGCTAGTGCATTCTCATTAGAATGGATGAATTTAATCCTTAACTTTGCCTTTTATATATTTTCGCCTTCGGGTAAGAGTGTGATTGCATCATAATTGACTTAATTACCACGAATGGCCTTAGGCCATAAAATTAAACTATCTGGTAAAACTTCTATGTAATTGTATGCCATTATTGAAAGAAACAATCAATCTGATAAGTAACGGCTGCTACTTGTCTTGAAAATGAGGCGTCGCTGGTAACATTGGGCCCCAGTTGTACCAGTATTGGCGACTTTATCGCCTGCGCCGGCAAAACGAAAAGTACCATATATAATTAAATATCCTATTTATAGAGTTTACTTTGAACTTTGCAAAAGCTATTTAATTCTGTTTTCAAAACCAGAGGTGGCTTTCTGCTGACAAAAAGTAGGTTTTTACCTTGTCAGTGGTAGAAACTGATTGAAACTTGCAGAATCTAATAAAAATATGTGAAGTGTATTTTTATTTAACAGTACTTTCTAATTTATTAAATCATTTTAATAAACAAAATGTTTTGTACATTTGATATATATTAATAATAATAAAGATTGTTATTTTAATCAGCATGTAATTTGAAAATAGGAAAAAGAGTGAAGCTATTCCATGTTATTTATTTTTCATTGTATTTCTACAAACTTAAATACTTAATCTTTTGAATTGGGACAGCTGTTCATATTTGTTGATGTAGCATTGTATTTTATTCAGCATTGGCAGAAATTTTTGATCTCAAGTAGCAAGAGAAGAATTTAACAGTTGCAAAAAGTAACAGATGATGGCATAGGTTCATAAATTCACATTATCACTGACGTCATCACAAAATTGGTTTCCGAAAGTTCCATAGGTCATGAATTTTATTGCAATTCCTTGTTATGATTCTTTGCCATGTGTGCTTATGAATTTTGACGAAAATTTCCTTTATTGGATTGCAAATTTTTCATGGTTGAAATCTTCATTTTTTTAAAAAATTAATTCTCAGTTATTTTTCAGTTAATTTATTCATATTCATTATTAGGTACTTTCTCATGTTTCAATTGTTAATATTATTGTATTAACTCAGGATTTGGTGGTTTATTATTTATTCATTGTTTCTTGCTTTAATGCTTTTGAGTTAATATTCCGTTCTGATTTATTCAACTTATTTCACTTCATGAGATTCTGATTGTTAATAAAAGGCTATCTTCTTACTATTTCTTTCTTCTATTCTATTAAATTGCTTAGAAATCTGGTATTACTTTGATTTTTAAGTCATTTCAGTTACTTATTTCTATAATATAATAATCAGGTACTATAATATTATGATCAGGATAATGAATTTCATTTTATATGGCACACATCCTGCAAACTGGCAAGTGATAGTTTTAGAATCGAGGAGAAACTGATTTAAAAAAAAGAGCTATTCGAGCAATAAAATCACGAATACTAGTATTAACGAATACTAGTGTGTAACTTTGTTTTAGACAGAGTTTGCTATATTTTTCCTTTTATTACTTACGAGTTGACTCATCTATCAATAATACAATCCAATCCAATCTGTGATTTGTAAGTTCTAAAATTTTTTAAATCCCCCCTTAGATAAAGATGAGACAACTCATTTACAAATTTCACAATCAGTTTGATTATTCATTTCTTAAATTATGTATACAGTACAAAGTCCAAAATCCTGACGTCCGTTATCCGGAATGATATAAAATCCGGATCTCAAAACCACCGACATTTTTTCTCGTAAGCATTACGCGCGCGCATTTAATTTCCCTCTCTGCGCATAATAAAACATCTGGAGAGCTCCGATTCTTAATTTCACTTCGACACTAAATAAAATACCTTGTTATTGAAGAAACAGTCATTTTAGCATAAATTTATGCGATCAGTAATTTGGCTCCGTTGCTGCGTATCTGCTTGGCACAGATCTCAAACTGAAACATTCCACATAGATACATCATTGATCTGATACCAACCTGGCGAATCATTATTTATTATACCTTCCTTTCATCACCATATGTTTATCAAAACATGATAACTTGAGTAATGACTCATGTAGCGATGCCTAAACAATTTTTCTATGTTAGTAATTGAATAATAAATTTATGTTGACATTACGCTTGGTGATGATTGCAGATTTAAGTTAAATGTGCTAAAAAATGTTGACGAGGAAAAATTTACCAAAAATTTCTTTCCTAAAAATTGATTTTGTTGACGATACTCATAGACCCAAAGATTACATTTAGGGCTATTTGAATAAAGAATAACTGATTTGTTATTCACATAAACTCAGAACCAGTGCATATGGTCGCACCAAGTCGCAGAATTTAAGACCCACAAAGACTGCATCAGGCGGTAAGGTATCTAGCACCGACCCTCAATGGCTTATGTATATATTTATTCAGAACTCTGATAAGCCTTAAGCATGTGCAAGAAATAGACATAAATAACTAATACAATTTAGGCTCAATTGTCTTATCGCCCGATAGAAGCAAGATAAAATTTAATGGAACAGCTTGTCGTTAGTCAAGCTCAGAATGCATAGCGAAATATGTATAGTGAAGGGTAGCTAAATTTGATGATGATAGGCGATAATTCTAAACGTTTTCGGATATCGCAAAACAAAGGTGAAATTTTCCAATTAACAGATTTTGTAAAGAAATGTGAAGAAGCGGTAATAAATAAAGATGATATAAAAGAAGTTTTTTATCGTGATAACAATGCCTCTCGATCATCAATCAATTAATGAATGGTGAAATCGGTAGTATGGTTCTAGATCCAGAAAATACCGCTACCGATAGTGAAGAAAGTGACAGAGAAGTAAATGAAAGGAGAAAATTTCGATTGACATGTTAGTCAGAATTCTCCAAACAGCAGTTACCGGACTTCAACAATGTAACTGAACAAGAGATTATGTCTGTCTACAGAATTAAAGAGATAGCACAAAAAACAAAGCAACTTAAACAATTTACATTGAAAAAAATGTTTAAATGTAAACAAATAAAAAAATGTATTAATGTAAACAAGTAAATATAAAGCCTTTTTTTTTTGTAAATTTCGGTCATAAATACTTCATTATTTCGTAAATCACGATTTAATATTTTTAATTTTGAATTTCTTCATGCCATCTTACTAGATTTAAACTGATGATTTAATATCCGGAAAAATCCCAAATTCGGAATCGCCAAAGTCCGAAAAAGTTCGGACTTTGTACTGTATAATTTGTATTAGATACATGTTATCCTTTTATACTTAAAAAAAAAAAAAATGTTGTATATTTGATGAAATCATTAGCCTGGAAAAGAGAAAAATTACTGACATATATACTAAATAAATAAATAAAAGTGCTCCTTGGAAATTTATATTGATTTTTTTTGTGGAATTTTAATAAAGAATGAGGTCTTGGAATTTTGTAGGCACAGTGAAATAGTCGTTTCAGTTATGAACACATATTCACATCTCAGCTTGTAAAATTCTGATTCTGTTTTGGGGATGTGTAGTGATGTCTGAGTATGGATAGAAGTATTACATGGTGTAATGCCCTGTATCTTTTACTGAGTGATTTACTTGGATGGTTTTGGAAATATCTACTGCTTCTGCCTGAAACACCACTTTGTTATTGCTTAGTCACTGTTTCCATAGGTGTAAGGTTTCTTTTCCATGCTGAAGAACTAGTACACTGCCAACTTTGGCTTTCATATATGAACCATCCAAGTATGTAGTCGGAGTAGTATTGCTGTGGATGTTACGATGGTGTAGATGTATTTTTACACCTGCCCTTTAAAAGTGCCAGGTGAACATGTACTGTTGCTGCAGGCTACATGATGTTAGATAATGCATATCTAACATCATAATAATACATGGTGTTAGATAATTGTTTAGATAATGCCACTCATTGAAGAAGCTTGTGGGAGTGCAAAGATGAAATACTAATTGGATTACTGCTTCTTGCCCAACATGAATATATGCAGTGGTGTTAGATCTGCCAGGACATTAACTGATGCAGTTGCTGTTATGCAAAATGTCTTTGGGAGTTTTAGCATAAATAGGCTCTGGATGCTGAGAAGATGTTTAAGCATTTGTTGAGCCCAGACATCAGTATATGTAACCATCCTTTCTATGACAATTGAGTTAAAATGACAAGTCTTCTGAATGTGCAAACCTAGTCACCAATTGTTTCCTTGAAACTGGTCGGAGGTTTTGCGCAAAGTGGCTAGTACATTGCTTAAGTTCCTTAGTGTGGGGAATTCAAGTTAATCATTGATCCTGTGTAAGGCCTAGTTATTTTAATTCTTTCATGGTTTTAATCCTGCTATTGTTGGTGGTGATTCCTAGATTAATAATGTTCTTGACTTCCTTTTTTTTTTTTTTTTTTTTTTTTTTTTGAATTATAAGGACCTTAGATTTGTCTTCTGAGATGGTTAATTTCAAGGCACTGCAGAGATCATAGAACTGCTGTGAGGTTTTTGAGTTCCATATATCTTCAACTCGTTTCTAGATTTTCCTTCGATTATGAAGGTCATATTCATATAAAATTGGACTAGCACATGATCCTCTGGGCATCATCATGTCTGTATTCATTGTATGATGCCATTGTTATGCATGATGATCTGCTTGCAGTTCCAAGAGGTAACTGTTAAAGCTTGATGTATATTTGCTAGGCATCTTGCTTGTTCCAGTGCATATTTAATAGCTGGCGACCCCATGATATCAAAGGCACTCTTAAGATTGAGGCTGAGGTTGTCTCTGTGATGCCATTGTGCCTGTGCTCTGGTATAGTTATTCACAGTCGTGAGTGTATTTGTGGTAGATTTCCTTATTGAATTCAGAGCCTGTGTGACACATTGCATGTAGCACAATGACTTCTGGCAAACTCAATCTAGATAACAGCTTGATCAAGTTTCTCCCTTTTTTTTCTTGTAATTTCCTTCAATGTTTTTTCACATAGAATTGCTGTGTTAATGAGAATAAACATCTAAGTATATGGCAGATTAAAAGAAAGTTTTTTTATTCCAGCATGGTCTTGTGGTGACTTATAACATTTCTGTCTAATTGTAAGGTGGCTTTTGTGCCGGCGTTTATTGATGATTCTAGCTTTGTCCCATTCATTTATCAAATTTAGATGTTTCAAAGAGCATTTAACCAAAGCTGTACTATTTTCTCTGCTGTGTTAGTAGAGAGCTTATAAATATCTTTCTTATGCTTTGTTATTTGTATAATTTTTTTTTAATGTCTAATTGATATACTGAGTTGCTCTATTTGTAATGGATCAGCTGAATTTATCAGTTTTTAACGATTTCTAGATAGATGCAGTTACTGTGTTATGTGCACTGACAAATGTTTATCCTGTTAAAGGTAATCCTTACCAACAGTTGTCCCCACATATGAAGCAGTACAGAATAAAGTGCAACCTATTGTTATAGCTGTAACAATAATTGATAGATAGAGCACAAATTAGCTTGTATTTCCGAGCATATGTGCGTCAAGTTTTATAAGACATATAACATGAAATTGATGATAGAATGCTTCAAACTTCCTGGATGCATTATGTTTCCCCGTGTTTGCAATTTCACACATCACACCTAATTGTTTTATTCATATACATAATGACTCTGTTTCTGACAATTACCGTGAAATTTTAAAGAGTATATTTATACTCATTTAAAATTTCATGGTAATTGTCATTGAGAAGTTTAATAGCATTATTTGTCAGTATGACTTATTTTTTGATAATTCAAAATTAGTAATAATAATAAATTATAATTTTTCTAAGATGTAATATATAATTTTAAACTTTTGTATTTTGTGTGCTTAAATTGCAATAAATAATAGACTTTGCAGCTTAATAAATAATAGGAACAGCGGCAGAGTATGTTGTGTAACATGTTCGTTCAAGATTATTGAAATCCATACAGCCCCCTTTCTGAATTTTATGAGCGTGTCTTAGACCAGTGCCTGGACATTTTGTACAAGGCTAAAGTGTTCATATTTATCATGAATGTGGTATAATAATGGTTCTTCTACATGATATCATGAATTGGGTATAATAATGGTTCTTCTACATGATATCATGAATTTGATATAATAATGGTTCTTCTACATGATAGAGATTTTGCCCATCACCTTTAAACACAATACGGTGGAACTTCGAAATATGAGTTAAATTCGTTCCAGCATTGAGCTCGTATAGCGAATTTCTCGTATCTAGAAACAAACTTCCCCATTGAAAATAATGGAAATCCATTCCACACCCCCAAAAATATCAACACAAAAATAAATTTTTCTAATAAATAACACTGGTAAAAATATAACCATAATTTACCTTTATAAAATAGCTTCAGACACCGACCTTTTCACTGCTTCTTGTTAATCCACACCACAACAGCTTCTCAACATCTTCCAGAGTTTTGGACAGTGCTTGGAAGTAACGGTACCTCCTTTGGCTACATAAAGTTTCTTAATTTCTTTTTCTGCTTCTTCAGAATAGTGCAGAACGTCGATGTCGAAAGGCCAGAAGTCTTCGTCACCCTTATGCTTATCTATGATTTCTTTTTTAATTTCAGTGGCCTTTCTTTGCAGCACTACCTGAGGCTCAGTCTTCTTGGGAGGAATCGTGAAATAATTATTTTCACATTATATGTAATGAACAATTGACTCACGAGTGCACAAACACATAGATCAAAGAACACTGAGTGATCCGACGAGGGTTTTTCCGAGTCGAGCCGAATAGGCAAATGGTGCCAGCATACCAACAACCTGACTCATTTGTTCGTTACTCGAGTCAGTGCCCATATTTAGAGACTAATTTTTCGCTCATACTTTTCTCGTATATAGAGGTGCTCGTATCTCAAGGTTTCACTGTATACATTTTCAGTTAGTTCACTGAAAATTTGTGCTACTTAAGTATAAATCCGTGATAACTAGCTGAAAGAAATTTTTAATAACACATTTTTAAAAGTTATGTTTGTATAATGTATAATTTTTAGATTCTTGATACTTCAGATTGCTTCTTATAAAAAATATGTGGTGAAATTTAAAAAATAATATATGTCTGGGCATTATAAAATATATTTCCAAAGAGAACTTTTTGGTACGCTTTATTTTTCAATAATACATACAATAATTTATATGCACGTATTCAACTATAAGCATTTTCCATTTTACGAAGGAAAAACTATATTAAACAAATTGTATGAATTAATAAAAGAAAAATGATTCATAAATAATCTTTTAAAGATTAAGATGAAATTCTTTTAAATAATCTGAGAAATATTTTATTTTACAGTTTCAAGAGACTTCAAAAATGACCCAGTGACAACAACTAGTCAAAAGCCTATTATTGTTACTGTTTCAGGCATGCCAGGAATGACGGCTGGGAAACAAGTAATTACATGTTTTTAAATTCCTGTAGTTTTACTTAAAAATCAGGCTAAATTCTTAATTGTATGTTTTGATTGAATACCTTTCTCGTCTATATATTACTAATTTCTTGTTGTTAAAAATTTACTTTATACATTCCAAATCTCTTTATATTCTGGTTAATGCAATCTTTGACTTTTATTAAACATTTACTTAATTTGTGTTAGAGAAAGCAGCTGTGTGAGTACTGGGATGTGAAACTTGTAGTTTAAAAAGTAAGACTATGAGGCAGAGCGAGCCCTGTAATTAAAAATTAATCATAATGATGGAACAGTAAGTTATCAACACACAAAATGATAGGAACAACGAGCTGCACTCATGGAAATCACCAGATTGAAAACTTTGTTTAGTTTTCATAATACAGCATGTCTGGTGTTATGGTACCACTCTGTAAAATTTCTTTTATAATTGTTTTTGGAAGTTAAAGTTTCTGTAGAGGAGTAAATTTTACTAAAGTGTTGTTACACACTTTTACAGATATGCTTGCATGAATTAGAAACTCAGTGTATTTTTATATTTAAAAATTTATAATTTTCTGTTCTTTTAAAAAATATAAAAAGCAAAGTTAAATTTTTGTTTTTGTTGATTTTTTCGCTTCTTTCTTTATAATATATTTGCAAACAAAGTCATTATTTTCATTATGTATTTAGACTTATATTTGTTTTGTATCATAGTTAAATTTGTTTGGATTGTGCTAATCTTTTATGTTTTAATTTTTTGTTTTATTTGTTTGTGTAGCTTACATCAGCAACGAATGTTCTCACTGCACCATTACTCTCAGCTCCTGTTCATATGATAGCTCAACATTTCACTACCGAAAAAATACCTTCATCAGGAATTATGACATTACCTACTTTATCCAGAACAGCTACTAATGTCAATCCAATTTTATCTGCCAAACCACGACAAACACCTCACATTTCTCCATTGATACCTACAAGCATTATAGCTTCGAAAGGTCAGCTTGTCATTGCCAGTGCCAATAGTCCTTTAATTGGCTCTTCAACAGCATCTGTCATAACAACTATGTCTGGAATTTCATTGAACAGTAGTATAGTCACTGTTACACCTGTAATCATGACCTCAACAGCTCCTCTAGTCTCTCTACCTGCAAATTCAGCTATGACTCTAAATCCGGTGTCTCAAACACAGGTTTTGTCAACAATGATTCAGCCGAATGTAAAACCACCTTTATCTGCTAACAACAAAACGATAATCCCTGCAACATATGTGAAATCTGTGAATATTGCTGCTAATCCTCCTTCATTTCCTGTGGCCGTACAGCCTGCAGCTATTGCTCCTGCTGCTATAGCCATCACCCCTGCTCCTCCGAAAGAACCCGATGTTGATCCAAAATGTGATCCTAAGAATCCAGATTTTGATCCTATACAAGCAATGGAGTGGAAAGATGGTATCGCAACATTACCTGGTAGTAACATGAAGGTAAATAATTGCATGCATGTGCTTTTTGTATGTTTCATGGATACTTTTTTAATGTTTTCTTATTATAAATTATTCTGCATTATGCTGACAGAGTGATATATACTTGTGTGTAATAATTTTAAAAACCAAAATTAAGGGTGTGTTTTTTAATAAATTGCTTTTGTATATAACCTATAAAATTCTCTGAAGATGTAAAATTACATTGTCAAAGTACTGCAAATTCTTAATACCATGTATCAGATTTGTGTATTGTGTTCTCATGATGCACTTCTCCAACTAAAGTAAAAGTAGACCATCAGTAATCTAACATTATTGTTAGCTATCTGGTGCCGAATAAGTGATTTTGTGTTTGGTGTTTGTTAAAATATGCTTAATTTAACAGCTAAGTACTTCCATTTTACCCTAAAAATGTCTTTTAAACCTGCATGTTTTAGCACCGGGGGGGGGGGCAGAATCTGAAAGGTTCCAGATTTTAAATTACGTTCAAAGGGCCCTTTTTTTTTTTTAAAACGTTTTGTGTGTTACCTTTATTTATTAAATATCATGTTTTTTGCACTTAAACCGTAAAATTCCGTTCAACATCAATATTGCACAATAATTTTAAAATGAGCATATCTTTAGAATTTCCGATACAGAGACTCGCATGCTGGAGATAAAAGTATTTTTTTCTTTCATACGATGTTGCCATTGACCGCTTTGAAATCATTGAGCTGGTTAATCAAAAATTCATTGAAGTGTTACAAAATATGAAATTGATAATAAAACAAATTTCAAATTCAAATAGTGCTTCCACATGTCCATATTCTATAGAAGATTACTTTATTTAAATTTTTATGGCTGTAGGTAACCTTTTATCACAGAGCAAGAAACATATACATTCATGCAGATTCTTCATTATTTAATTTCTTTAAATATAATACAGGGCAATAATATTTGGTGACAACAATTTGAAAAGTGAAACAATGCTTATCGTGAATCGACGCAAAATGCCTAAACGAAATCAATAGTTCTCCTTGGCAAATTGCCCCTTTGGACTAAAAAGAAACTAAATGAAAATCAATCTGAAAATTTAATTAGTAATTTAAATATAGGTTATAAATAATTCTGTTGGATTAATGCAAACAAGTACATTATTTTCACTTCTAAACTGATGAACAATCAAGTCTTGCATGTCCTAAGAGAAATATTTTCTATACTTTATCCCAACTGATGTTTCCTAAACATCATAAGTGTTTTTGATGACAAAAGATCTCTAGACATTTTGGTAACCCCTTTGTACTGCTGCATTGATTATTCTTTCGAACATTCCATAAATGTTGTTGAACTCTTGGCCATGTTGTCTATAATTACCTTCACTAACGTTTTTGCAGTTTTGTTTCCAGCCATTTTCAGAAAAAAACTTGTTTGTTTTGGAGGTAATGCTGCTGTCAATACTTTATCCAAGTAATAACCTTACAGCATAAGTTTTTCATTTTGTACGACACATGCAACAGCAACAGTTTAAGTTTTATGACCATTTATTTTATCCTATCTTTGTAAAGCATGTAATTCTTGTTAACTGAATTCGGCTTTTTGGAGTTACTGTTGTTTATTTTCACGTTTATTACTTAATTTATTCTTTTCTTGGTAAAACAAAATTGTCACGAAGAAAATGTAAACCAGAATAACCAATCGGTATCTTTTTTTTTTTTTTTCCCACGCTACTTCCTTATTTTTGTCAATTGTTCCTCTCATTTGACTCATTCCACTGGATGTGCAACCACTCATTCCACTGGATGTGCAACCATCTGTGCAGTTTGTCAGTCAGTATAATTATGTGTAATAGGTTCATCTTTAATCTTCAGATCTTAGGCCCTTATAACACCTTCATTTTGGTATATCCTAAACCACTTTATCAGGATTTATTTCTGTACTCTCTACTTCCTGTATTGTTTTCTGAGTATGTATGTGATATTTTAGACGTTTGCAGTCGTGGTGCTTTGGTAGAATTTTGCAGAGAGCCAATTAAAGATGAAAACAATCCACTTTTTTTTAGTCATGGCCGAGGAAAACTGTTGCATAGATCTGACTGACTGCAACTGGTTTGATGTTTAAAACGTCATTTTTATTTTGAACGGGAACAATCATTCAGAAATATCATTTGTCTTAAACTTGTACAGCACTAGGGATGCTAAATGCACCCCACAATTTCAGTATATGCAGCTTACCTTTCTAGATAATAGGAAAAGAAGTTTAATGAAGAGTTGTGACTTTCTGAGGCAGAGCAATCACCCGAGAGAGTGATGTGCAAGAATTTCGGTAGTATTTTTAACCTTGGATGGTCTTTTATTTTAGTTAAAAATGATTAACTGGAAGGGGTAGTTTAGTTAAAACTTGTTACTGTTCCATGATTATGCCTTAATATGGAATTGATGGGAGACATATCGGACTTCTTAAACTAATTTTAGTAATGCATTTAAACTTCACCAGCCTTATGCTAAGTTATCTTGATTGAATCTTCTTCTGCACACTTTATTTCTTTTGCTACCTGTAGATTCAACTTACTTTAAATTATCATGTCATCGCTGTATTCTTCTATTTGTTTCTTTTCATCATTTTCAAACCATTTAGTAAGTCCATTTCCTGAAAGCCTGATTAATGGGTTCTTTAACGGAAGGTTTTCAACTGTTTTCAGTAACTTATAGTGGTTGGTCAAAGCAAAAGATATGTAAACACGAAGCTTTAAACAAAAGACTAATGGAAATGCTGAAAAGACACAAAGTAACTGTTGAGCATCTTTTTCGAATATTTCCAAATGAAATGCTAGTTAGTAGCACCATCTTATGACATAAATATCGCCGAAATGGGTGCTGGATTGTCAGGTATATTGAACTATTGGATTCCTGGCTACTAATCTTTTACTACATTTTAATGTATCGGATTTAAAATATAAGTGATCTTTCATAGCTACTGCTTACATAAAGACACCATGACATATGAAAATTAATACTCTAATTTTGTGCTTTTAAGTATTAAATTCTTTCTTTTATAATAAAAGGCTTACAAAAATTTACGACTGTAAGCTTTTACTAGTTATATCAAATGTTAACTAAAAGCATGAAATTAATAAGAATTAATTAACTTACTTTTCATCTTATTCTGTTCTCTTAATGTTAAACAAAGTGCAATCTTAGACTGATGTTACTTTTATTGGGAAAATGTACATATTTGATAGAGGCCATTGGATTGGGATTGTCATTTTTTCCCTCTCCTTCGTTTTGTACTATCATTATAAAACTGAGGTTGAATTTTGCATAATTTTGAATTTAATTTTGTGTGCTTTCCTTCCATGCATTATTCTCCATTAAAGTACTGCATATTATAAACAGGAATTCTAGGGACTTTTATATGATTTAAATGCCTTACAAAAATAATTTTTTATGAATGTGATCAGCATCTTTGGGGATTCTTCCGAGATCTCATTTGTACTGTCAAATTGTTGCAGTTTTGGAGAAGAAAACATTATTTGTTGCTAAACTTAACTAGTTTAGGACTGTCATTATTTTACTGGAATGGGGATACCTTGTTGGTCATCTTATGTGACTAATTGTTGTTTCATTTTATAGCCATACTCATAAACTCGCATTTCATCGTCACCAATCAATTCTAGAAAGATATTCTAGAAATGAAAATTTCCATATAATGAATAACTTAGTATCCCTGACCTGAGCTTGTCAAGAGATATTCTTCATGTTCATTTCATGTAATAAAATTTGACTTGTCTTCTATGTTAATCAGTCTGAGAGGTCATGAATCTTCCATCTTCACCTCTCCACCACTCGTGATTGTTCATGATGATCCTGCATGATTTTTTTCCCCCTTAATGTTCATTTGTATAGTGCTTGCTGTCAAGGATGATCAGCATAATAATCAAAAGAGTAAGCATTTTTTTAAAATGATAGGATATTTATGGATCAGTGCTTATTATATTATTTTGTTTTTTCTACTTCTGTCTGTCTTTGCCTAATTTTAAACAAATTTGGCTAAAATCTTTGGTATTAGTTTTTCTGAACATTGTAAACATTGAAGGGGAGCATTAAACATTTTCTTAACATTAAACATTGTTACATTGAAACATTTTGAACATTGTAGGGGAATTTTTTAAATACAATAAAATGGAGGGTTTTTTTTTTTTTTCAAAACAGATCATTGTGTTGCTAATTTTTTAATTAAAACAATTTAAGATTAAGGTCAAATCTAGTGTTTTCTCCTGAGTTATAAGAATAATTGTGAAGTACTTGAGTAAAAGGTAGTATGAAATATTTTCAGTTTAGAATGTTGTCTTTAATTATATTAAAAAAATATTATATAATACTGTTGCTTGTGGGAAGGTAAGAAAGCAAATATGTGTGTTGTTCTGTGCATAATTTTTAATAGTAACAAATTTAAGTAGTTTTTTAGTTTTTAAGAGAATTTGCTATAAATATTTGCATCGAGTTAAAATTTGAAGTGTGTATAAAGTATATCTTGATTTTGCTTTCTGGAATTTTTTAAATATAAGAATATAAATTGGCATATTGTGTATCTTTGTTGTAAAGTAAAAATGAAAAAGCTATCAGTGTTCACTTTAAGTTCAAAGTAAATGTTATGAGAGTTTCTATTTGATTTCTAAAACCTTTATTAAACATGGATCCCATTAAAATTTCTACTACAGAATTTTTCTGATGAATTAAATGATGAATTCTATGTAAATTAGCTATATTATTTCAGTTTTATGTATTTATATTTCATTCATTATAGTTTAAATTAAATGAATTTGGGACATTAGAAATGATCACTGAAGACTTGTGTAATGTTCCACCTGTTGTCAAATCAGTTAAGGATGAGGGTACAATTACATCAGAGGATAGTTCTTCAGAAAGTCGACAAAAAACCTCAAGAAGCAAAGAAATGTATCAAGATGGTTAGTAATTTATTTCATATAAATTTTATGAAAGTGGAATTTTTAAATATTTTGATTGTAGATATTTTTCTTCTTTTAATGAAACACTGATACATTTCTACAAATTCTGTAATTTATATAGCATTATTATATATCATTTTAATGATTTTGAATTTTTTGGCAGGTGTGCAAATGATGAAATTTGTATTTATTAACTGATAAATATTTTTGCAATTATAATGTTATAAAATGTCATTAATCAAGGATATGTGTAATTAAAAGCGATGATAATGTATGCTCTTGCCATTTTATTTTATTTATGTAGTTTATTTAATTTTTAAAAAGATGACTAAAGATGACTGTTTTGAAATTATAAGCTTTTGAAAAATGTGTACTTGCTATCTGAACTATAGCATTTGAAATTATTATCTTATTTATCAAAGTTTTTCTGTCTTGAGGAGTTTGAAAACTGTAGATGACAAGATATTTTCTAGAGTCAGGATTTTTTGAAGCAGGAGATGTAAAAAATGTTCAGTGCCGTTGCCGTGACTCAAACCTAGACCTCTTGAATATGCGCCGAGTGTGCTACCATTACACCAAGAAAGCATACAGAAAGGAGGTTAGCGAAAATGCCTAATATACTGCCTCTTTTATAGGGCGCTTGGGGTTAGCGGACCCAATCGCCAAATCCTGGTGGTGAAGAATCATCACCCACCATCCTTTGTTAGTTTGGGCACCACTGTAAGAGTCATTAGGTTATTTTGATGCTGGAAATGTGAAAAATGAGCAGTGCCCTTGCCGGGAGTCAAAATGGGTCTTGGAGGAAAAATGGGCAGTGCACTAATTATCTGGAGGATCATCTTGGAGGAAAAATGGGCAGTGCCACCACAGAAATTAGTTAAAGAAAAAAAAAAAAAAAAAAAAAAAAAAAAAAAAAAGAGGTGAAAAATGTGCAATGCCTTTGCCAGGACTCAAACCTGGATCTCTCGAATGTGCACCGAGTGTGCTACAGTTACACCACAGAAGCATGTCGAAAGGAGGGAGAAATACTTTTTAATTTTTTTAAGTCTTATTTACTTCTTTAATAATGCTTTGATCCATAGGTTGAAGGATAGAGAATACAGGCAATATCCTGCAAAAGAAATATTTATAAGCTATGTATCACTGCGCTCTGAATAAATCAAGTGAAGCATGAAAAAAAAATTAAATGTTTGATATAAACAAAGAGGGAATGGGAGTGTAGTAGTAAATTATAACATACTTTTTATCCTTTCCTTGGAACCCTTTGTAAGCTGAAATAACTGAGTAAAATAAGGGGAGGGGAAGAAGGACCTCGGAGATAGAGTTATAAAATAACACTAAAAATAAGGGTGATAAATTTAGAATTCACTCTCATTTCTACTTTATTTTCATCTTTGAAAACTGGGAAGGCAGCTAGTACTATATGAGATGTAATGGTACTGATGTTAAACTAAGCCACTAGATATTGAGGTAGTAGGAGATACAGGAGATTGTAGGCTGGTTGTAATATAGAATTCCCACAGTTCAGAGACTAAACTAATAGCCTGTGCAGATGGCTTCCTTTTGGTATTTGCAGAAAGAAAAGAAGAAAAGCAGAGGCATGCATAGACTGATTTTGTTCACATTGGGTGAAAAAACATTGAAGCACAACATTAAATTGCTACATATTTTACATTATATTCATATTTAGACGGTGCAGAGTAAAACAAACATCGAGTAACAGAGCTTCTTAGGTAAAATATAATTTACAAGATCCACCACCTATTAGTTTAAAAATAACAGTACACAGCATTGCATTATAGTGCTTAATAAATAATAATTTAAGTGTTAAATTAAATTTCAGGTAATGTTTCAAAATACTTATACTTATTATAATGTAATTTGTTAGAATTTTATTTAAATTAGTGTAGTTAATTTTTTTAAAAACATCTTTAAATGAAATGTTTGAAAAATAGTTGATGTGTAAACACAAGTAAATAGAAAGCATTGATAAAATACTAATTTGGAAGTGGAAAATGTAAAAATATTTAAAATGCAAATTAAATTTTTAATTTTGTTAAAAGATTTTCCACCATATATCATAGTAGTAGTAGTTCAAGTTACCGGTGATCAGATTTAAAGTTAAGTTTAAATATGTGTATTATATAATAGCCATATCATTAAGTGCAACATTATGTGATATATACTAAAATTTTTGTAAACTACTTATTTAAAATATTTTTGTTTTTTTAAAACTCATTTTTAAGTGTTGGATCAAAAAAATTTTCTTTAAATGTTAAAAATTTCTTGATTTTGTGATATATGTGGCAGATTCATAGTTTCAGATTTGTTTAAAAGTTACAGTATCTTTTGTGTAGTATTATGTTAGGCAACTATTGCATTTAATTTGATAATTATTCCTTTTTAGAGAATTCTGCAGAAAAAGTGACCCAGAATGGTCCCAAAGATCCTGATATGTCGGAAGAGTTATGCAGGTGTGAGAACTGTAATTGCTTTGGTCTTAAAGTAGAATTTTGCAAATCAGGCCGGTTTTGCAGTCAGTCTTGTGTATCATCTTATGCTAATAGGTAAATTATTTTTTTTTTTTATTTCTGGGTGTTATTTGGAAATTTGCCAAATATTTTGCAAAACATATTGAGTTATTTTTTTCTTTATTTATTGTTAAATTTGAAAATACTTCTTCATTACATTGTGAGTAATAAGAATAATTAAATTTTAAGCTGCTTATTTTTTATAAAGTGTTCATGATTCACCAAAGCATTTTTAATGTTAAAAAAAGGAAATATATAATAACTGATGAGAGAGCACTTATTAAAATTAGTGCATATTCATATAATTTTAGTATAATAGGCAAACATATCTAACTGCATGAGAAGTTTGTCTTGAAAAGATAGTTATACTGTGCCAAGCATTGAAATTGCAACACCAAAAATGAAAGGTAATTGGAATCTATTTGAAGGGCAATCATGCATTAGGTCCTTTTTCTTTAGGAGAAATTCTGCTTTCTCAATAATACTGGTTGGTAGGAAAAGATCAAAAAGGAAGACAAACGTTGCATTGTAAAGCTTAAAAATTAGATAAAACAGCAACCTTATTTTGGTGTGGGTTTTAAAGAAAACTCTCCGTTTCAAAAGTGATCAGAAGCAGATCTTTCTTTGTATCGTCCTTAAAATCTACCATAAATGTAGCTGTTTTGCCAAATTTTACGTGTACAGATATTTTCAATATTTATTCCGTGAAGAATATGATTGTCATACGAGAAAACATACTATATAATTACACACCTTAGCATTTATCAAGTCATCATTAAAGGAATGTTTTGCCACACTGCAGGCATATAAAGCATTATGATTGGTATTTGACTTTTTCTTTTGCAATAGCTGACCATTGAAGCCCAGATGTGTTCAAGAGAGGCTGGTGTTGAGAAGTCCATGTAGCCATAAAGTAGTATGAGCAGCATTGTTATGATGAAAAATGGTTCCCGCGTACCTTGTACCTCGTACCACTAGTTTCATGAGAAATTCAGCATGATTTTGAACTGTGATTGTCCCAAGAAAGATAGAGGGGTTTGCCTACCATATATTATACTGCTTCAGGCATAGATCTAGGATGATGTTCTGTCATGAAAGCTTGTTATTGGTGGCCACATGGTCTCCAACCATCTTTGCTATGAGACAGAAGTGAGACTCATTTTTGAAGATGATAGTTCTCCATTCTAGCCTCCATTACTACATGGATGTATACCATAGCATTACCTATGGGAACCATTGAAAGTTCTATGGGACAGCTTTCAGTGGTCATCTAACTGAGAGCCTAGTATCGTGCAAGTGCATTCTGATAGTTTGTTTAGACCAAGGGGGTCAACCTTTTTATACCTACCGCCCACTTTGTAGGTAGTAAAATTTCTTACTGTCCACTGGTTTCGCAGTAACTTAATTTAGCATTAATGTAATTAAAGTAATTTTCTCTTAGTAAAAAAATATATAATTAAATTTATCCATTTGTTTACACTTTACTTATATTTGACAGGAAATTTATATCCATCTTGGCTAGCCGAGATATTGCCTGCAGTAAACTAGCTAGAAACATATCTAGCTAGGAACATATCCATGATAGGAAAAGGAAAAGTTCGTTTATCAGAAAAATTTCTCCTAGCCTCACTCTTTGTTAAGATGTATGTGCTAATCTCATTATGCATGCTAGAGTCGCAGAACAACACTTGAGAGAAGTGGGAAAGCCTTATAAATATATGAAAAACAGGAGAGAGCTGCACACAGATGAATGGACTTCTATCATCGGATGGAGAAAACCACCCACCTCTAAAGCTTAAATCATCCATTAGTGGATAGTATCGACCAGGTTGACTATTCCTGGTTTAGACCATTCTTGATTCCAGAGTTAGTATGTTGTAACATCCAAGTTCACTTGCTACAGAGTGAGATCAATAGATATGATTCATCTGAGCAGATACTGACTTCTGGCCATGGCCTGCTGTCATCTGACTTCATTGTTCTTCTTGCTGTTACTGGAATAGACAATGTTGAACAATACTGTCATACAGCCCATACATGTAATAATCTATCAGAAAAATAAACCAAAATTTCAGAGTATAATCAAATAGAAAATTTCAAGGTTTCTGATTTTCATGTTCCAAATGATGGTATGTGCACATCAACAGGTTTGAAGCATTGTATTATCTAACCGCAAGACTCAATCTTATATGTCAGAAAGAAATTATGATTATTTTTTGGCTAGGCTTTTATTCCATTTAAGCTCTTTCTGCATGTTGCTGGTGGGAACTAAGCACTTAAAAATTTGATCATTTACATATTTCAAATACACCTACAGCCCATCAAATTTGCATAACCTTTGTGACCTTCCCTTCTGTGCATTGCAATCCAAGTATCAAGCAACATATTTTGTATGATTTTGGAATCCATAAACACTAAATAATGTATCAGTAACATCTCTCCCTTTTTTATATTCAGCATCTTTTAGTTAGTATTAATCATTTTTAATTTCATGACTATATTTATTGTGCTGTGTTTTGTATAATTAATTTTAAAAACTTTGCAGAAAAAATGCATGGCTAAAGAGAGGAGCTGCAAGAGAGAAAATAAAAAAAAAGAAATTAAAAAATGAGACAAATGATGTAAGTATACAATTTAGCTGAAAGTCTCTGAAAAATTTAGTTAAGTGAGGGGGGGAAGTTCTGTTTCCCTGTGTTCCCTCCTTTTTATATTGCACACTAATTTTTTTTTCTCCCAAATTTAAACCCTGACAGTGGCTGAGAGGTTAGACTGCCGAATGCTGATAGTTCCTCCTGGGCTCAAACCCTGGGAAATAGGCTGGCCGCATGGTTGGTTTTCCTCATGTAATGATGTGAAGCCAGTTTCCCTTAGAAGCTCCTTCATGAATGCCATTTTTTCCTTTAGGCCTTTTAGTCCCCGAATACTTTGCTTTGTTCAAATAACCAACCAACCATCTCCCAAATTTTTTAAAACTGTAAATAGTGTTATCAGTTTAAAACATGTTTATGATAGTATTTATTTAAGTATTACAGTCAAAAGTCGTTAATTCGGACACCCATAATCCAGAACGATCTATAATCCGGACCTCAAAGCTACAAACTTTCTGCGAATTTGCGTGTGCGCGTGCGCAAAATACGTTTACGAATGCGCGTTTAATGTATAACGGACGGGATAAGATAAGCTAAAATTATCTAATTATCTATTTCAGTTAATGTTGCAGATTGCGTTGTTCCTTAATCTTCGAATTGGATCCGGATTATTATTTTTTGCAGACTGTTAGAGCAATTTTAATAAAAGTAAGCTTGAACTTTCGATTATGTCAAATAGAATTTCCGATATATATTTACTAATATGTAAAGGATATACAAAGCGAAAGTATCTTTCGGAGTCCATTAAACAAAAAGTGGAATTGCTGCAAAAAATGGATAAAGGCATATCCTTTGGTTATATAAACTTTAACGTTTGTTTATCTAAACTTTGTTTATCTTTAACGCCAGGGCAGCGTGCAATGAATTGGAAGTTGATCTGTCAGCACTATCCTTATCTTAAGGGCAGATGTTTTTATTTTATTTGGCTTATAATTCCTTACTCAATGTAGTATTTCATCTCGATGTACTCTGTCTTTGATATGATTTAAATCAAATGCCTGGGTCATTATAATTCGCTTCCGATAGCGAAGAAAGTGACAGAGGTTATTGAAAATGAAAAAATTTTGATTGACAAATTAGTCGGTATTCTCGACACAGCAATTATAGGACTTGAACAGCAGAACTTTGTAACTGAACAAGAAATTATGTCTATTTATAGAATTAAAGAGAATGTATTATCACATAAAAAACGAAGCAACTTAAACAACTTACATTGAAAGAAATGTTTAATAAAGTAAACAAAATAAATATTAAGCTTTTTTTTTGTAAATTTTGATACCCTTTAGATCATAATTGTTCTTTATTTCGTAAATTACGGTTTCATATTTTTAATTTTATAATTTCTTCATGCCATTTTACCAGATTTAAACTGATGATCTATAATCCGGAATCGCCGAAGTCCCGACGAGTCCGGATTAACGACTTTTGACTGTATAAGTTTTCATTTTAAAAATTAATATTCAGTTGAGGTAAAAAATCTTAACTTGTAATTAAATAATTGTATTATTAAGTTCTGTTATTGATGAATTTGAATACAAAATACATGCCATGTTCAATCTTTATTATTACTAAGGGCAGTGAATTTCTATTAATGTTTGGAAAGTAAACGTGTTTTTACAGAGTTGTGGAAAATTTTTGTAAATGCCTGCTGACCACATTTTTAAAACTGAACTGTATGCTGCTGTGAGGGAGAGTAGGTTAAGAAGCAATATTTTCCCTGCAGTTTGTATTAAAATTAAATTTGGAATAAATGTTATTAGTTTATTCACTTACATTTGTGTTACATGTTTTCTGAAAGATTATAGTAAATTTTTGTGTATTTGATGTTCACCTTTTTATAGAGGGGGATGGAAGTTAAACTCCTCTACGGCGTTACAGACAATACATTTATTCCAACTATACACGCACACTAAATACAAAAACAAGAAAATGAAGGTACAGTGCCCTCTGTCGGCAGGCCGCAACACAGTGGATGTTGTAATGTTTTAGCTTTCTAGGAAACTTTGATTTTATAGGAATGTTTACAATTTTTCAATGTGAGATTCTTTGCACAATAAGCAATTAACCTTTTATAACAATTGAGCAATCATCTGTATGGATTTGCAGTGAAGTCTTTGTGCATTAATGGAGTGACATTCGTAAATATTTATTGTAAAATGTAAGAGAAACTCTATTAACAATACAATGATGAGAATTAATATTGAAAAGTACAAGAATTAATTATGTTATAAGGTATTTCTCATACCTTCTTCATTCTTCAGATAAGTCTTCATTCTACATTATTAACTGAAATGAGTTATCATGGCATCTTACTCAGTTATATCATTTAGGAGTTTTAGTAAATATAATGATTTATAAAAAAATTTCATTTGAGTAATTTTATAAAAACAAAAATTTAGAACAGTGGAACTAGTAGTATAGTATAGTGTGGTGGAAATGGTTGGTTGGTCTTAATTAATATTCTGATAATTTTTTGGTATTTTCAGTGTATATGAAAATCTTTCAATATATATGTATGAAAATCTATTCATTGCCAATAAGAAAATAAGCTAATTATTAAGCTTATTTTCATATTGGTAATGAAATTTCAAGAATACATAATAAGATAAATGTACTAACTTCCTTTGCAGATATTTTATCAAATGTGCCATAATATTTTATGGACTATGCATAATTTCCTATCCATTTATTTATTAAATGTATATTAAGGCATATTATTAACACTAAATTTTATTTGTAGAACGCCCTTTTACAGGAAAATGTGAATAGTACAGTAAAAAGTGAAGAAACAGGATCTGAAGAATCTCTTGATTTGAAGAAAGAATTTCAAGAGCCTAAGAAAGGAGACTTCTCATGGGAGGAATATTTGAAACAAGAAAATGCCATAGCAGCACCTGTAAAGCTCTTTAAAGATGTGAGTTACAGACTTATTTGTGATAAAAATATTTCGAAATGTTTTTGGTGCAAATATGCATGCATTTAAAGTTAGGTATATATTATATGACGTTTCTTATTTTTATTGATTTTGTGTGCTTGGTATTATTAGTGGAGGTAACTGTCATACTGATGGGCATGTGAGCGGTGTAAATGTTTTTGTGATGTATGCAGTTAAGAGCATTTATAGTTTGTCATTGTGGTGGTAAAGGTTATACAAGATTCTCAGATACTGTTGCCCTATTGAAAATTTCAATGTATTTTTATGAATAATTAAATTTATGAATAATTTTGCTTATTCTATAACATTTGTGTTGCCTATCTGCTCCTGGACAACAGATAACATTATAGGGGGAAATGGTCATTTTCCAGCTTCCCATACTTTACGGCTGTGGATGTAGGCTGGTAAAGAGAAATGCAGGAATGGGTAGAATGGGTAGGAAGGTTATAGCGGTGTCATATAGGTCTCCCAGCTGAGCAAAAAGTACGGTATTTCACACCAAACCTTTTGCTCAACTACACTGTTTACTTTTTGTTCTATTGTTTGTTATTATTGTTTAACAGAAATATAAATTTTATAGTTATATTTGCATCTACAAAGTACAAGAATGTAAAAGTTACTGAATGATCATTTTTATTTTATGTAAGGTTCATCTTTTCATGTGAGTTAGAAAAACTGCTTTTTAAAATATAATTGCAAAGTACTGTTTGTACTGCATTTTCTAAATATTCTGCACTAATCATGGAAACTTAATATAGGATTGGAAAGGGAAGATTTAAACATTTAATACTGATTTCATCGAGAAATTATTTTAGTATTAGATGAGGTTCAGAACTGTTACAGGCTAATTAGGTGTGAAGTGGTAAGAGTTCAAGTCCTGGTGGAATGTGTTAGTTGCATGAGAGTTTCCATTCCCCGTAAAATGTTAATGCAAACCAAATTATATACCTTAATGTTGACAACATTCCTCTTCAAGCCTTCAAATGTTTTGTTATAAATAATTAATGTAACCAAATTTTGGAGCAGTGATAATTAATACCATAATGACATTTAACATATGTGATCTCAAAAAAATTACAAATAAGTCGTGAAAATGTTATGAATTAAGTCTTTAATGGAGTAATGGTAAAATGTTATACATTATTGTACATTCATCAGAAAATGATATGACAGATTTTGCTCCTGTGCCATAATCGTAATTAGTGGTGAATTATTGGATTACGATATAAGAAATACATCCCATTCGTCATTGAAAGGCTCCTCTCTCTTAAAAGATTGCTTGAAGATTTTACTTTCATCAAAGTTGAACAATAAAGTGAAATTACATAGTTATGTACTGATTTTGTATATATGTTGATAAATGGCTGTATAATGAAATTTTGGTTTTTGTGTTCAGAGTCAAGGGTTTCCTACAAGTAAAAATGGTTTTGAAGTTGGTATGAAATTGGAAGGAATTGATCCTAAACATCCATCCTTATTTTGTGTTTTGACTGTGAGTGAAACACGTGGTTACAGAGTGCGTCTACATTTTGATGGCTATTCAGAATGTTATGACTTCTGGGTGAATGCTGATTCTCCTGATATTTTTCCTGTTGGTTGGTGCGAAAAAACGGGTCATAAACTTCAACCACCCAAAGGTAAATATTTTATGGAATTTTTCTTATGTTTTATATGTTAATTTTCATATCTTCTTTTTAATTTACCAAACTAAACAAATTTCTTAAATTTTCTAACTAAAATAGAAAATTTAAGAAATTTGTATATAAAATTCTTTTATAATTTTTTTCAAGTTTTTGAAAATTTTACCTTTTTGTTTTTACCCTTTAAATTTGCTGGAATTGCAACACCATGAAGGAAAGCAAATACAAAAAAGATATTTATTGAACGTAAACAGTATGGCATGAAGACAAAATGATTAAATTTGTAAGCATTTTGGAAGTTTACAGGAGTGTGCTACCCCTGGCAGCTAAAACAGACCTTACCCCATTAGGCTTGGAGTCAAACAGGGCTTAGATGACAGAAATGGGCAACTCATTCCATGCTGCTTCAAGTCTATGCCGCACTTCATCAACCATATTAGCTGGAGAGGGGTGGCGGGCCAGTCTCTCAGGAACCCGAGACCAGGTGTTTTCTGATCTGGAGACTATGCAGGTCAGGCAGTCAGATACCCTGTTTACCAGAGAAGGTCAGAACAGGACGTGCAACCTGTGCTCTTCTATTATCTTCTTGGAACATGGCGTTTGAGGGCCTTGAAGATAGGGCACGACCACTGGACGTAAGATGTCAGAAATGTACCCATCTGCATTAAAATTACCATCAATCTGAACTAGAGATATGCGTGTCATGTATGCAATGGCTGCCCAAACCATCGCACCGGCTGCAGGACTTCTATGTTGATATCGAATGCAAGCAGGTGAAGTGTGATCTCCTCGGATGCTACAGACACGTGTATGGCCATCAGAATACTGCACATTGAACTGGGACTGATTTGAAAAGGCAATATTCTGCCACTCATGTACCCAGCTTTGTTGTTCGGTGCACCAGAGTCGCCATCTCTCTCTCTATGCTGCATTGTCAAGGGAAGCAATGGTTGCCCTGGTGATAGTCCAGTGATACTGGGTGTGCTGCAGACATGCCCATTTCCTGATTAATAATCCGTGATGTGGTCGTATGGTTGTGCAGAGCCTGACTTCACAATATGTCTGTCCTCTCTGGTATTAGTCATGGGAGGGCGTTAAGATCCTGCATGCTGTTCAGCATGATCCTCAGCAATTCATTGATTCCATATTCACATGACAGTGGTTGGATGTTGACCAGCGCGACTGGCGATAGCACGGAATGATAATCTGCGCTCTCAATAGGCAATGATCCTGCCTCTGTTGAATTTTTTCTCTTATTCGAGGTACACCATGATATTCTGAGCAAACTCCAACCTTACAAAGCATTTTCCAAATGAGAAATCTACTACATAATTTTTCTTTTATGCAGTGCTTCAGATGTCGTTTCTCCCTCCTGTGTAGTCTAAGTGTGCTGAAATACTAATCATTTGCATATCCCAACTTCTTCTTTTAATGAGATTTTGACATTCGTTAGATCATTTCTTCCTGGAGTTGCAATTTTAATGGGCAGCAGTGTACAAGTATAATGTATGCTAATAAGTGCACGCTAATAAGAAAAAAGGATACAGAGAAACCTTGGTTTAATGAATTTAATTCATTCCTAAAGGCCATTTGATTCATTCCTAGAGTCATCTTGCATTAATTCCTGCAGAAGAAAACTGATATACTTTTTCTGCATGGGAATTAATGCAAAATGGATTAATTTGTTTCTGGATTAAACTTAAGCTCATAATCCCAATGCCAATGGAAATGTTCAAGTCTGTGATAAAAGAATATGAAAACTATTAAACAGATAAAATAGACAAAAACTTGACTTTAATCTATGAAGGAGAGCGGATGGCATAAATGCAAGATGATGAGGATGATGTTATTATTTGGGTGTAAAATACTTTTCCATAAAAATATTATGCTGTTGTCTTTAGAGCACATTTTTTTTTTTTTTTTTTTTTGTCTTTACTTTGTTTCTAAGCAGACTCGACTTGAGATGTATTCGTTAGAACTCCTCTGTTTCACTCAAAATTTGTTCAAAGTGATTTGTTGCCTGCATTTTAAAATGCTTCTTAAGTGAGGCATGCCATAATCATTGAATCTGTTTAAGCTGTAGCTTGTTAATGCTTTATCAGGGTGATATGCATATTATCCCATTTTGCACCAATTTCACAGGTCACAAATCTGAGATCCTCTTTTCCTGAAGACCATTTTTTTTCACCATCATCTTTTATTGCTTCTTCTAAAGGTGTCATAATTCTTTCTTATTGAGCTCCTTCCATATATGTATATAGAAATATATGGAAAGTGTATATATGTATGTAAATGTATATTCCATATATGTATAGTCCTCTTGTATTCCATATATGTATGTATATATGTATATTCCATATATGTATGTATATATGTATATTCCATGTATGTATAGTCCTTTCCATATACGTATAGTCTTGTAGTAACTTTAGACCTTTATTGTTAACTTCCTTACAAAGCACTTTCCAAATGAGAAATCCAATACACAACTTTTCTTTTATGCAGTGCTCCAGATGTCATCTAACATCTAGCCTAGGCAAAACATAGCCTATGTTTTTGCCTAGAGACACAGAGTTATAAGTAAAAAATTTGTGTCAAAACCTTCGAATTCTCTGCCCTACAACCCAGTCTGGTACTTTCAAGACCATGAATATTACCAGCTTTAGTTGATAAGAATTAAGTGAAAAATATTAAATTAAATGTTTTCAGAACTCTTTGATTGTTATTTCTGTAACATAAGGTTATCTTGAAATTGCTTTGAAAATAATTTGTTTCTGACTTGATGTGTTTGTAACTTGAGACACCTTTGGATGTGTTTGTAAGTTGTGATGCCATTCATTGTCTGAGGCAATTTGTGTTCAAACAATTTTTTGTGAAGCTTGCCAGCTTTTGTTAATGAGAATTAAGCAATGAAAAATATTAAATTGATGTTTTCAGAAGTCTCTGATTGTTATTTCTGCAACATTGTTATCTCAAAATACCTTTGAAAACCATTTGTTTCTAACTTGATATATTCATAACTCGAAACACCTTTTGATGTGTTCGTAAGTTGAGACCCCATTCATCGACTGAGGCGATTCTTGTTCAGACAACTTTTCATGAACTGAATGGTTCAGGAAGGGAGGAGTTTGTGATCCATGATTATGCTGTATTAATATTATAAAGCTGTGAGGTAGTAAAGCAGAAATGTGATGATGAAGAGGAGGTTAACCAAAAGGCAGATATTGATTCAAAAAGGCAATAACCATCAAATTAAAGGAAAAATGTTCTTAATGGACAAAAAGATAAATTTGCAAATTGCTCCTGAAAAATTAAGCAAGTTAAAAAAAAATGTTGAGAATGAAGCAATTTAAAGAAATAAAAGAATTAAGCATTACAGTATTTTTATAACTATCAAACAAAAGATTGTAAGACAAGTGGAAAATGGTATTCTTAAAGAATACTTCTAAAATCATATTTTATCTATATGTTTTCCAATTTAGGGAGACATTTTTTAGCATTGCAATTGCAAGAAGAGATTTTTTTAAAACTATTACCTATGCTTCATTGAAAAATGTAAGAAATCAGCAGTCTTTGTTTTGTTATTACAAAATGGCCAGACATAATTGCTGTTATAAATTTTTCTAGCATTGTAGTAAGAAGATAAATATTTTATTATTTCAGATTATTTTACTTTTGTTTTATTATTTATTTGTTGTTTCAGATTACTTTTACTCGTTAAACAAAATAAAAAAAATCAGTACATATTGCTGGACATAATCTTTTAACTATTACAAGAAAGACTGATTAATTTGAAAGTACAGTACAAAGTCCAAAATCCAAACGTCCATTATCCGGAATGATCCGGACCTCTAAACCACAAACAAAATTTTTCTCGTAGGCTTTACACATGCACATTTGATTTACCCCTCCGCATATAATAAAACATCTGGAGAGTCTCGATTCTTAATTTCACTTCGATGCTAAATAAAATACCTTGTTATTGAAGAAACAATCATTTTAGCATAAATTTGTATGATCAGTAATTTGGCTCCGTTGCTGCATATTTGCTTGGCACTCATCTCAAACCTAAACATTCCACATAGATACATCGTTGATCTAACGCTAACCTGGCGAATCATTATTTATTATACTTTCCTTTCATTTTCGCATGTTTATTAAAACCTGACAATTTTCATGTAGCGATACCTAAACAATTCTTTAATGTAAGTATTTGAATAATAAATGAGTATGGTAACCTTTTATGTTGACACTACGCTTGGCGATGATTGCAGATAACAGAATTTAAATGCGCTAAAGAATGTTGACGAGGAAAAATTTACCAAATTTCTTTCCATATGCTAAAAATAGATTTTGTTGGTGATACTCATAGACCCAAAGATTACATTTAGATCATAAATACTTCATTATTTCATAAATCGCGATTTCATATTTTTAATTTTATAATTTCTACATGCCATCTTCCTAGATTTAAACTGATGATCTGTTATATTATCCGGAAAAATCCCAAATCTGGAATCACCGAAGTCCCGATGAGTCTGGATTTCAGACTTTGTACTGTATGGATGTATAAATTTAGTGGAATTCATTTTTGCTTAACATTGGTATATGTATGTATAAACATGCATCACATATGGGACAAAATAATATTAATTTGATAAATGATGATACAAATTATACGCAGCGGTAAAATATGCTGATCTGTTAGTTTTCTCAGAAATTAAAATATCATTATAGTTATTTTAAGGTTACAAATTTAATATTATATATATTTTATTTCTGTCACATAACTGTTGAAAATAGTTTTCTCGATTGTATGAAAAAAAATCACACTATTGAAAATATCTTTTCTCGCTTTAGTTCAGGTAAATGGAGTTCTAGTGCATAATTTGTATGCTTTTGTTTTTATTTTAAGTTATACTGTGTCTATTTAACATGTTGAAAATCATTCCTTCTTCTATACTGTGTCTATTTAACATGTTGAAAATCATTCCTTCTTCTATACTGTGTCTATTTAACATGTTGAAAATCATTCCTTCTTCTGAGTAACAATATTTATGTACTAAATTTTGAGAATGATGTCACAAAATTGCTTTGTACTAAGAATAATTAAAAGAACTAGGTATTAACTTGCTATCAGAATTTCTCTTGAAATGCATTGAGTATATTTTTTGAAAATCGGTACCAAACTAAAGCTGAATTCTCCCTATCACAGTCATTTTGGTGGTTTTTGTTTCAGTAGAAAAGGAAAGGGGGTGAAGTACTACTGATTATTCAGCAAGAAAGGTAATAGGGCAATTGACAAGTTTGACAAGAAATAACTTTTATTTATTTTTTTCATATAATCGAATGTTCCGGAATCCCTATCATTACAACATATTTTATCTTGCTCTAGGATTTACTTCTCAAGAATTCAATTGGGATAGTTATCTTAAGCTTTCTAAAGCAGAAGCAGCTCCAAAGCATTTATTCACATATAGGAGCCCTCAGGTATTTATAATATATGTGTGTTACTGGTATTTATTTATTAACTGCGTAAGCAGTATAAATTATATTATTATTTTATGTGTTTTGTAGCATTATTATGTATGTTTAATGAAGTGTTTCATAATAAATAATGAATTGCATTAAAAAAGGTGTAAGATGCTCATTTAACACTGGAGTGTAGATGCAAGAGGTCTTTATGAAGATCTCTTATAGATTTTAAGTAATTTTGAAGTTAAAATTTTACTGTAACAGGTAACAGGTTTAAGTATTGTGAGTTATTTCTTTTGTTTGCATGAATGTCATGAAACTTTGTAAGGAATTTTTTCATATAACTACACTGATTACAGATTAGGCTCCATTTTTTACAATGAAATAGACTAAAAGCGTATTTATAAACAAGAGCTAAAAACCTAAAATGGTTATTTTTATTTTAAGTATGAGAAATTATTTTAGTTTATAAATTCCCTTGTATTCATGCAAGTATAAATGATGTGCTTATTTTCCAAAAGCTGTAAGGTCTTTCTTTGCAAATAAAGCATTTCTAAATAATCTCCAAGAAAAGTTATATTTTAACAATAATCTCTAATTAAGCAAAAAATAAGTTACTAGTATTGAGACTGTATCTGAAAGCTAGAGAAAAAATTCTGCATAATTTAAGTTGTAGTTTCTATATAATATAAATATGGCATGGGTTACTTATTGAAAATATCAGCAAATTGGTGAATAAGATAGTCATATGTTTTATGATAATTTTTTTTGCATGAAATATTGGCAGAATTGTCAACAATTTATAAGTGTAATCGCAGCTAAGCTAACGTAGTGTGAATCTGTTTACATTTGAACTCTTAGTAGTATAGTGAATTAAGTTGGTTGGTCCCAACCCCCAAACAACACTACTCTTATGTACTGATGGTAGCAAAAATGAGGATTCCCTTGTTGGCAGTAGGGTATTTATCAGAGATTTCAATGGAATTGTTAAAATAAAGAAAAGAATTCCTGACTTTAGCTCAGTTTTTAAAAGTGAACTCTTTGCTATTGATGAGGGGCTGAGCTATATAATGTCATTTTTAGACCCTAAAGTCTTAGACTGATAATCCAACATTTGTCAAACTGGTGTAATGTAGGTAACAAAATTGGAACTTAAATTCTCACTAAATTAAAACAAGTCTCGTCCTCTTGTAATGTGCTCATTCAATGGATTTCCTCACATATGGACATTTAGGGAAATGAAGAGGCAGACACTCTGGCAAAGAAGGATGCCGAGCAGGCTTTGACTACTTCTAATTGTCTGACTTACCTTGAACTGTATTCTGCCAGAAAGCATACTGATAAAATGACTTGGATTGTTCCTCCGGCTTGAATCCCCTGGTGGATCCCTCACTAAGAAGTGTGACAGATGTACCAAGGCAGCACTCTCCTGCTTTCTTAGTGGCCATTTAAGAAGCCTTGCCTTACAGACAGGTAAAAAAACACACCCGATTTGTCTGAAATGTAACAATGAGCAGGCTTCTCCGGCATATATTCTTAGGTGTCTGAGTTTGTCCTACGATCGCATGGTTAAGTTTCCTATGCTAGTCTGTGACTTTTTGAAGGTGAATAAACTCGTGGATCTTGTCTAGCAGAAGCTGGACTTGAGGATTAGCAACAACAACAACACGTAGGTTGGTGCACCAACTTCAGTGTCACTTTGCCCAGTGGGACTAGAAGTTAACTTAAAATTTTGTCTTTCTGCCCATTGATCAAATTGCTTGTTTTTGTATAGAAACACTACTTTAATTGCAAAATGTTTTTTTAACTGTGGTGTTTTATTTATTATTTTTTAAAATTAAATTTTATAATTTTTAATGAAGATGTTTTGAGTTCTTACATTTTTTTTGCCTTGCTACGGAGTGAGAGCTGAATAGATTGAATGAGAAATATATCTCTAATGAAATTCAAGGAAATAAGTTTAAATGAAGTGCAGCAGAGAGTGTGCACAATTAATAGACTATACAAGGAAGTCATGTGTCCACATCAGATTTTTTGTAATAAATTTCCTGTGCATGATTTTCCAATTTTTATGCATTAAAAATATTTATCAAATATTCTACAGTGCAATATGTTTACATCTATTTTAATATACATGTATTATTTAATGGCATTCTGTTTTTTTTTTCTTGCACTTCTTTACTTTGCAAATTTCCTAAATTACAAAATTAAAAATGTAATGCTTATTTATGAACAAGAACTTAGTTATAAAAAGGTTTTGTTATTTCAGTTTTTTAAATAATGTTGATATAACTATTTAGTATGATACGTTTTCTGATCCATCTGTTTATATTTAGACTCCCAGTCCGCATTTTCGTGTTGGGATGAAACTTGAAGCCATTGACAAGAAAAACTCCTCCTTGGTTTGTGTCGCAACTATCACTGATGTTATGGACCATAGGTTTTTGATTCATTTTGATGGTTGGGAAGATGTTTATGATTACTGGGCAGATGCTTCATCCCCTCATTTGCATCCTGTGAATTGGTGTAAAGACAATGGTCGTGTTTTAACACCCCCAAAAGGTAAGTTCTAAAATATTATTTATGATTAATATGCATAAATTTTTATAGATTGTTGAGTCATTAGGATTTCTGATAGCAGGAAGCTTAAGAAATGAGCAATGCCCTCGCCAGTACTCGAACCACGGACTTCTCAAATGCTCACTGAATGTGCTGACCACCATGAAGGCATGCTAAGAAGGTGGAAGAAATACCTTATATACTCCCCTTTTAAAGGGCGATTGGGGATTATGAAACCCAATCGCCAAATCTTGGTGATGGAGAATGATCATCCATCACCTTTTTCAGTTCAGGCACAACTGTAGAGTCATTAGGATTTTTGATAGCTGGAAATTGAAGAAATGAGCAGCGTCCCTCGCCGGGACTCGAGCCACGGACCTCTCGAGTGTGCTGACTGCTACACCATGAAGGCATGCTAAGAAGATAGGAGAAATACCTTATAAGATATGTAAATATTGTGAAGGTTTTTAACTAGCTTCTTAAGATATCTGCAAGTGCATAAACGCTAATTCTGCTGAATTCGCTGTTGTGAATTTTAAACGAACTATTCATTGGTTTGTACCTTTAATAAAATTCTTTTTTTGTTAATAATGCAAACAGTAAGAGTGATTTTTTAATGGAAAACAGTTTACTAACACTGGCTCGTATTATTGTTGTGTTAGAACACACTGGTCCAGTTATTTTGCTTTGATTGTGGAAGGTAGGATAATACTGCTAATTTTCAATGACTGCATATTCTTTATTTGTCTGTGAGTCAGTCTTTCTGACTCACAGGCAAATAAAGAAACTTATGTATTGAACCACTGATTTCTATGGGTAACAAGGTAACTCTGAAGCTAATCTGGTTAATTTACTCTCTTGCTTAACGAATTACTGACTTAAACAGTGCTGTTTCTTCTACTTTTTTTCCATCTGTTCTCCATCCCTATTGGCTGTGAATTTGTCTTGAAGATGATTGTTCCAGTCTATTTCAGTTTTATTTGTGATATCCAATTCTTTTTATAAACTTTTGATTTGAATTAAAACAGTACATAAATGTTATGACTGTCATAAATATTAGCAGTTTCCTTCATTCCAGTTATTAACTTATCATTTATCTGCACTAATCAGTTATATACTTCCACAAGTCTTTTTTATGATGTATAATTAAATTGCATGGAAGTTTCTATAAAGTGGTATTTTAGTGAATACACTAAACTAGTGAGTGGTACTTTGGTAAGGAGACTAGAAAGTGGTATTTAAGTGAATTCTTGACCATTTGCAGATTATTTTGATATTCCTTTCAGGTTTTAGTGTATTTTGAGAGGTAAAACATTTTCTCATTGGTAAGAGAAAGCATCTGTTTCTATCTTGAAATGTATTAAACACACATTAAACTGCATTTAAATATCAGTATATCAAATTTGAGATGAATCTCTCACATACAATTTAAATTCCGTACCCTATTAAGTGCAGGTATTTTTATTGCTTAGTTTTTATTGAAACATGTAATACAACTTAAATGCTGCAGTTATTGTTCCTCCCCCTTTTTTAACACTCTCTGTTTGTTTTCCTAACAATTTGGAAGTATTGCAGAATATTTTAAGTTTCTTTTTTCTTAATTGTTTCTCTTTTGGTATTGAGTGAAAAAGAGCACCAAATGATTATAATTTGTTTTGATTTAATTTCCTATCAGGTTAACTCTTTGAAGGGCGGTAGTTACCTACAGTAACCACCTTTTCTATTGAATCTTACTATCTTACTTACTATCTTGCTTGCTCATGCGAGTGGTTTTCAAGACTGATCGTTTCTGAAGTTCCTTTCTAGCTCACTAGATGGCAATCAAGAAACATAAGCCAGTAGTTGATGCAGCAATTCTTCTTCAAGAACATAAGCATCAGCCATCGAAGACAACATTACAACGATGCACACTCTGCAGCTCAAAGAAAAAGCATGTAAAATCAGTGTGGGAATGCAGCACATGCAAAGTTGCACTCTGCTTAAAAAAGAAGAACTGTTCTCATGACTATAGAGACTTATCTGTAGGGATGTGTTCTGTGGGCGATGGTCACTGACACTAACCACCAGAAGTGGTCTTTTTTTTTTTTTTTTTTTTTTTTTTTTTTTTTTGCATGCCTTGGACAAAATATGTGTAATTGTCACAAATAATTTCATTGCAACACCTGATATAGTAAATAAAACAAGAGTTTTGCTGAAAAAATTGCCTTTTCCTCAAAGAGTTAATGTTTTTTCCCCCCTTTTTCCATTGTCATGTAAATGCAAACTAGTTTTTAGTAGAAGACTAAGGCAGATAATTTTCATGTTTTGCTTAAAAAAGGCACCTATTTACCTGTATTAATTATATATGTGTACTTATTTCAGTATGCATCTGTAAGTATTTAATACGTTACCTATTTGTACAATTATTCTTATTTTAGAAGTTAAAGATGCTGCATCTTTCAATTGGACAAAGTATTTAGCAGACACCAGGAGTACAGCTGTAGCTCCAAGAGCCTTTAAGCAATGTACACCTAATGAATTTAAAGTGGGTATGAAATTGGAAGCTGTTGACAGACGCAATCCCATTTTAATTAGAGTAGCTACAATTGCTGATAGGAATGATCATAGTTTGCTAATACATTTTGATGGCTGGTCTACTGTGTACGACTATTGGGTTGATGATAACAATCCTGATATTCATCCTATTAACTGGTGTTCAAAAACTGGTCATCCATTAGAACCACCTATAGGTAATAATCTTTTGTATTATGTTATTGTATAAGTATTTAAAATGTTTTATTGTAATGTTCTATATGTGTATTATACTTTAAAATTTGTTTTATAGTTACTGCTCCTGGTCAGCCTGGACCTTGTCCAACTGCAGGTTGCCTAGGTCAGGGGCACATTAAGGGTCCAAAGTATACTACTCATCACAGGTAGGTTATGTAGACAAATATATAAGAAATGTATTAACTAATGTATAGTCATTTTCCTTTTAATTTTGATTGAATGAAATAATATGTTGATCATTATATTAATGTATTTTAAGTCATTAATTTTAGCACTCTAAAATTGTTATTAGTTAAAGTCAAAATTATTTTTATTTAAATAAAATGGATTTAAATATTTGAGTATTTTTAACTCTAGCTAGATCTTATCTTGATACATGAAATGAAAATAGCTCCATATTAAGCATTAGTTCAAATTTTGCAGGTTATTTTGTATAAGTTAGTTAAGGAAAATCATCCAGTATGAAACGGATATAACCAAAAACTATTGATAAATGATACAGACATTTACTGCACAAATGAAATGAGTGTGATGGGCTGTTTGTTTGTATCGGTACAGAACTGTCATTATATTGTAACAGAACTGTAGCAGTACATAGTAAGAGCATCCATGCAAGGGAATTCTTTCATCCCCCTTTTTTAAAAAAACACTTTTTAACATTATGTTATGACATTTCATGTTTGGCTCGCTCTTCTGTCCTCATAGTTTGTAATGTTTTTCTGTGGTATTACATAAAGTGAGGGCCAAGTAGTATAGGGGATGAATATTGGTAGTTGGTTGTGGGTTCAGTACGTGGCAGATGGGCTGGCTGCATTGGCATTTCCATGCTTTTCTCCATGCGTAATGTGGATATGAGACAGTTTCTTTTAGAAAGTAGGTATAAGTATTTAGAAAGTCTTCCATGTACCTTCCCTTAGGCAGATAGCCCTTGCATGCTTTGCCATAATCAACCAAACCAAACCAAACATGAAGTGAAAGCCTTCAGACTTTAGCCTGCACAACTGACCAGTGCATGAAGTCAGTCCAAATGATAATTGCAGCAATATATTAAGAAATGTCTAGGAAAGCTATCTGAAACTTTGTGATTAGGTGTCAGGGATTAGATACAGCATAAAGGCTAGTGATTGGATGATATAGTTTTTATATCAAAATGATGCAATTTGGTCGCAATAAGAACACAATGCTTATATTATGTAATAGATAGTGCTGATAGATGAGCATTCAAGTGATTATCAGCAATATTATATGGATAATGAACAAGTAGAGATCATCCTTTTGTGCAATAGAAATGTATATCAATTCTTGCTTCATCCTTTTGTGCAATAAAAATATATATTAAAACTCTTCTGTCTTTGCTGTATACGTTTCATATTCGATATGTTTTTATGTTAAAAACTGTATTACTAGGAAAAATTTAAAAACATTATTCGTGATAAAACAAAATAAATTGTGTATATTTTGTGAAGGAGGGTTTATAAAGTGGTATTTTAGTGAATATGTGTGTTCAAGAATCCATATTAAAAATATGAATTTATTAAAATTCATATATTTTCTTGCATATTTCTTACATGATGTATGATTTAAAAGTAATCTTAATTGAGAAATTTTATTTGAAATTAGCTGATAATGTAAGTTTATAATAATTAAACTCATTTTTTTGCTTTGAAATGTATTCTTATATGGTTATTGAAATATATTCTTAATGCTGTTATTGAAAACTTAAAAACATACATTTAATTAATAGCTAAAATCTTTTATAAATATTGTAGTACTGTATTCATTTTCAGTGCCTTTGGCTGTCCATATTCTCAGATAAATTTAAATAAATTGGACAATGCATGTCAAGACAGAGTAATCATAACAAAAGAATCACTGAACGAATGTGCTAAAAAAGTGTCAGATCAAGGAGGAACAACGGATGGGCTAAGGTAACATTTTTAGAATGCTCCATGCTTTTCTTTTCTAACGTGATAGCTCTAAGAATTTAGAAATAGTGAAGACTTTAAATTAAATAATTTATAGATAAAACAGAAAAAAAAAGCATCTAATATTTATTTTTACTATACAGTACATATTTATGTTATGTATTGTTTTGATTTAAGTGATAGTAAAAAGAGTGAAATCATCTGCAATAACTTTTCATTCCTAAATTTTTCCTTTTCTTTTTCAAATGTTTTAAACAATATAGTTTTTCTCATATCCTTTAACCCTCCGAGGACCATGACAGGTTTTATCCGGTCATGAGATGTTTTGTCACTTGTTATTTATTAGCTTATAATTTAAAATATTTTGCTTTCTTACTTTCATTGATAATATAAAATGCCATCTTGATAAATGTAAGTTAATGAAAATAGAGACTAAAATAGGTAAATATACATATTTAGCTAATGAAGGTTCTTTAAATGCAGGTTTTCATGACAGATCCAAAAACCCGAGCTGCTCAAAGGGCTAAATAAGTCGGTAAACTGATATTCTTATGTATGTAAGAATAAAATACGCAACCTTCATTTATTTTCTTCATTTATTTCATTTATAAAATCTAGTTTTGTAAATTTCAATGAAATCTGCTTCTCTTAAAATTCAGGAAGGAGGAACATATCAATTATATTAAATAAAAAGTTTTAAAAAAAGCAGACTATAGCTTTCTATTAATTATTAGGATAAAAATAATAAATTTCAATTTTTAAGGCCAAAATTATTGCTTATAGTAAATTTGCCCTTTGGTTCTTGAAACTTTTCAAAATTTTCTTCCAAAGCAACTTTAACTTCTGCTCCACTACTATAAAAGGTATCGGGATGTCCACATCTGTTCTCTCTTCCAGGTGCTTCAACTTCATTGCAGAGCATTTTATTTTGTACTGCAAGTGTTTTCAGTAATAATATTGCTTTAATGAGTTTGGTTGCTAATGAACTGTAGTAAATTTTGTGCCTTAATTTTATGTTAAATTTAGTCATTTATGTACACTGTGGGAAAAAAAAAAAAAAAAAGACAATTCTATCTTTCATTCTATTGGGCCGATTGATGAAATTCAAATTTCGTTTCTCATGTCTCGAAAAGTGCGACTTAGGATATATATTAGATTTATATACAGCATTTCTCTAACATAGGTATTTTGACACAAAATTTGACTTTTTCTGAAATAACGTCCCAATTTTTTTCCATACTTTGATTCTACAACTCAAATTATGCCTAAATATTAAATTTTGCAAAATTTGGTGCGAAATTTATGGAGAAATTCAAAAATTTATCTTTGCACATTTTGTTTTCAGTCTGCGACAAGATTAATTCACTTGCCGAACTTCTTAATTTATAGCAACCTATTTTCCTTTTCTATTTCTCATTGTAAAGGAGCATAAACCACATTTTGCTTATAACGAATATGCCAAATTTTGAAAGCGCCAATATGTAAATTCACATATATCCTAGGAAATTTTGAATAAAAAACCCTAATCTTTGGCAGGTGTGCTTAGAAATACATCTACTTTAAGATGATGGTAAAAATTTTATAGTTTATAATTTAAAAGTTTTTTCAAAAAATTTATAAAAGTGATTTAAATACACAGATTTAAAAAATACAGGTTTTAAAAATAAATCCTAAAGAATGGGCGAATTTTATTTGTAATGAACCTAAATTTTGAAATGTGAAAGGAAGAATCAAATATGTTTAATAAAAAAACAAATATTAATAAATATATATCAAATTTAATTAACTTTGAGGAGCTAAAATTTTGAGAGCCGATTTTTTAATTGTGCGGTTCTTACAAAACTTGGCAGTTGGCGTAATTTGAGTCGTAGAATCGAAGTATGGAAAAAAATTGGCATGGCATTTCAGAAAAAGGTCCGATTTTGTGTTAAAATACCTATATTAGAACAGTGCTATGTATAAATCTAATACATATCCAAGGCCATGCTTTCAAGACTTAAAAGACAAGTTGAATTTCGTCAATTGGCCCAATAGAATGGAAGATATAGAATTGTCCCCCCCTTTTTTTTCCTTTTTTGTGCAGTGTAGATTCCTCCCACAGTACCTTGGAGTCATGTCTTTGATAGCAGTGGTTTGGTCAAGGTGGCCTATGTGCAAATACACAGATATCTCACTTTTCCTTTTCTTACCTATAAATGTACAATTAATACCATCTTAATGAACTAATTAAGCTAAATTAAATGTGTTTTGAACTTTTGAAATGTAGTTGGTATTTACTATAAAATATCTAAATTTCTCTGTAATAATATAAGATCATTCTAAAAAAACGGTATATTAGCAATTTTAATAGATAATTCTTGCTGCTTTAATTTTTGCAATTAAGGTAAGTTTCATGGATATTTGTGTACGTAACAGAAATGTCTGTAAATAAAATAATTTTACACACTTAGCAAGCTTATTTGGTCTTACTTTAAAGAACTCCCGAATAGAGGCATTTTATTTTTATATATTTTTGCCTAGGCATAACTTGAGAGTGTTTTCATATGTGTAGTTTAAATTTTAATTGTAAATAAAGTATTATATGCCAGCTTGCTCTATTTAGGAGATGTCCTACTCCTGGTTGTAATGGAGTAGGCCATGTCAAAGGTAAATACTCTGTTCATCATAGAGTTTCAGGCTGTCCACTTGCTGAAAAGAATGCTTTAAAAGTACAACAAACTACTGCTACTACTGTTAGTCCAACTCCTAGTCCTGTTTCAACACCTACACCATCAACTGCTTCTAATACTTCTGTGAGTACAGATACTAAACCTGTCGATTGTATTAAGACACGGAATGGTGTCGGCAGAGGTAGAAAAAAGTAAGTATACATCTGAAATATTTTTATATTAACTCGTAAAATGTATATATAGCTGGATTTAAAACAATGTGATTTATTACAATTAGGTTTTGTGAGATGCTATTTTAATCTTTACAAGATATTTAAATTAGGTATATATATTTTCCGTGTACTTCAGTTTTGAAATTTATATATTCAAAGCTAATAAATACCACGTTTTCCTAAGAATAAGAGTGAGTCTTATATTAATTTTTGTTCTAAATGATGCCTTAAGTCTTATTTGTCAAAGAATTTTTTTTTCATGCAGAACAATTAATATTTATCCAATTACAATAATGTATATTTATTCTCTGTATATCTGTGAATTTATTCATGTTAAAAAAATTATGCTTATTCAGTTATGGTTGTATTTTGTTCTGAAACATCGTCATAAGCACCAAACTCTGAATTTGGGCCTGAATTTCTTTCTGCTTTGCTTCTTGCTGGACCACTGGCCTTAATCTTTCATGTTTAGAATTCTTCTTAAATGAGCATTTTCTGTTTCCATAGGCTGCTTGTAGTACACTTGCAACACAGTTTTAATGAATACCCATGGAAAACCATTTTGTACAATTTAAAATAATAAAAAGAGGGGATTGTATTTCATGAATTCTTCACGGCCTTTGTCAGAAAATTGCAACACCAACAATGAGAAAAGTAACTGTCTGCAATTGTTACCTGTTTTATACAGTGTTAGTTGAGCAGTAGAAGCATATGCAATGAGAGAAGTTAACATTCATAGGCCTTGAAAATTTAGTCAAGCCTGTTTATTGCAATATCACGAGTCTGAAAATAGGCAGTCATTCCTGTAGCAATCATTATTTTGTACACCCTTCCAGAGAAAAGAAAGTAAAGTAAACACCCTTAAAAAAAACTGATCATCTTGAAATTTTGTATGCAAATTCCTTCCTAACAAATATGCAAATGATTAAATTTTCAGTGAGTGTTAACTTTGATCATGGCACCTGTTTCTGCTGCACAACTAGCATCATACAAAACAGGTAACATTTGCAGACAGTTAATCTTTTCTTGTTATTGGCATTGCAGTTTCTTGGAGACACAATCAATAATGCTGTTTGTGATGTTGTTCAAGACTTTGTAAACAACTGGATGACTTCAAATGTGGTCGCATTTTAGGGATGAGCGGAGCAGGTTGACCATACCAAGCAGTACTCTACCACCTTCATCCTACATATGTGGCTGTGGAAAGGTAGTGGTAGTGATGACTATCCTGCATTGCTGTATTGCCACTGTCGCCACATGACGGGTAATGCAGAAGAAACAAGCAACCATTTGCTTCGATGTTCTTCCTCTGCGAACAGCTTTTGTTGCATTTGGCTCGTCTTGAAACACCCACACAATCGATTGCTGTTTTGTTTCGGGTTCATAAGCGTACATACATCCATGATTGTCAACTAAATAGAGATGTTATACCCAGCCTTTGATTCACCTTGAATTTATATTTCCAACATATTACTGCACCAATTGACGCGAGCCTTCTTTTGAGCGTTTGTCAGATTATGCGGGATCTAGTATGAACAAGTCTTTTTTTTTAAGGCCAAATATTCATGTAATATCATATTGATGCTTCTCATACTAATGCCCAAAGATGTCTCAAACTCACGGTATGTCACATGATAATTTTGCTTTATCAGTTCATGCACAGCATCAATATTTTCTGGCACAACAACCGATTTTGAATGATCTTCACGGGATTCGTCCTGGAGCGAACATTGACCACAATTGAATTCGTTATACCAGTTTTTAGTGCTCTATCACTGTATAAAGAATTAAGTTCATTGAAGCACTCTTGTCTTGATAATCCTTATCAAATGTTATGAAAAATAATTGCACCAAAATGTTCACGAGTCAGTTCTATTTTTGCCCGAGATGAATTTTTCAATTTACTGTAAACAACACAAATCAAGCTAAAACTGCAAAACATTCTGAAGAAGTTATGGTTAAAAATATCAAACTTTCTATTGGAGTCGTCTGCAGTTGCTAGCAACACTTACTGTTGCCAAGGCCAAAAATATAAATAGCAACTAGTTGCTATTTATATATATGGATATATATATATATATATATATATATATATGTAAGATAAGAAAATATGATGGCTACGTTAAGAAATAATTGGCAACCTTAAAATTGACTATTCTAAATTTGATGTTCTCCCCCAAGTTCATCTTTTCTCCCAAATTCGAGATCTTTCCACGTTGCACAACACTGCTTCTAAAGAACCTAAAATTAATCAATTGCAGTTTAGCTGTACATATGCACTTACCTAGTACAGTACAAAGTAATCCGTAATCTGGACTCGTCGGAACTTTGGCGATTCTTGATTAGGGGTTTTTCCGGGTTATAGATCATCAATTTAAATCTGGTAAGATGGCATGCAGAAATTATATAATTAAAAATATTAAACCTTAATTTATGAAATAAGGAGCAATTATGATCTAAAGGGTATCAAAATTTACAAAAGAAAAAGCTTAATATTTTTTTTGTTTACTTTATTGAACATTTCTTTCAATGTAAGTTGTTTGCTTCAATTTTTGTGCTAAACATGCATGCGTAAACGTTAAATGCGCATGCGTTAATGCATTACGTGCATGAAGAGAAATTATAATCGAAAGGGTATCAAAATTTACAAAAAAAAAAAAAAAAAAAAAAAAAAAAAAAAGAGCTTAATATTTATTTGTTTACTTTTCTTTCAATGTAAGTAGTTTGCTTCATTTTTTTGTGCTAAACGTGCATGCGTAAACATTAAATGCGCATGCATAAACATTAAACGTGCATGCGTAACATTAAATGTGCATGTGTAAACACATTACGTACATGAAGAAAAATTATGGTCTAAAGGGTATCAAAATTTGCAAAAAAAAAAAAAAAAAAAAAAAAAAAAAAAAAAAAAAAACTTAATATTTATTTGTTTACTTTATTAAATATTTCTTTCAATGTAAGTTGTTTGCTTCATTTTTTTGTGCTAAACGTGCATGTGTAACATTAAATGTGCATGCATAAACGTATTATGTGCATGAAGAGAAATTATGATCTAAAGGGTATCAAAATTTACAAAAAAAAAGAGCTTAATATTTATTTGTTTACTTTATTAAACATTTCTTTCAATGCGAGTTGTTTAAGTTGCTTCGTTTTTTTTTTTTTTTTTTTTTTTTTTTTTTGTGCTAAACGTGCATGCATAAACGCATTACGTGCATGCGTAAAGCATACAAAAAAAAAAGTTTGTGGCTTTGAGGTCCGCATTATAGATCATTCTGGATAATGGACGTCCGGATTACAGACTTTGTACTGTATAAAAAGCTACTAGCTGCATAGTCTCTCTCTTTCACCTCTTCGGCTGCCTGCTGACAGCGTGTCGCTTATCTCTGCTAACTTAGATTAGATAATGATATATACGAAATTCATCGATTGTTATCTATAAAGTCATATAAATCGGATCATGTTGCAATTTCCGATCATCTCAGCCGCCAAAAGTACAAGGTTACATATATATAAACAAATGTATGGAAGGACTATCAAGAATCCTGCACCTAGGCTGCAATGATTTGATGAAACATAATCAGAATTAAATCGGAATACTCCTATTATAATTTTTATATTTCAAAGTAAAATTTAAGTAAGCCAATAAAGTTAAAGAATTATAATTTGAAGTCTAAATGAATTCAATTCAAAAATTCGTAATTATGTAATATTTAAAAGAAATAGAAAAATTATAGAGCAGTTTTTTATATTTAGATTTTTTAGTATGTTATAAAGCTTTGAATGTGTAGTGATTAGGAAACTTGGCAGTTGAGTGATTAGGATGTGTAGTGATTAGGAAACTTGGCAGTAATATTAAAAATTCATTTTTATATCAGTTGACATTTGTGGCCACAATTTACTTGGCGAAGAGAAATTTAGACGTACTGATGTAGGATCACTGAGACGTAGAAACACAGAAATTCTGAAAATGAAGCATACAGTAGATCCATATTTAAGAGGAAGAATTCTGATTTCATAGTATGCTAAAGAATTGAATCTGTAGTGCTTAGGAAACTTGGTAGTTGAGTAATATTAAATATTAATTTTTGTTTCATACCTATATAATTATATATACATACACATACATATACATATATATATATATATTAAAATGTAAGAACAAAATATGTAGATTATTAATTCTCTGTGAGAACAAGTTAATAAAATTGTGCCTAGCTAGACTATTTATATCTCCGAGTTTTGATTTCAGGTAACTAAACTGTTGTAGAAGGAAAATCAGTAGCCTGAATTTATTTATGTTGACATAAAAAATGTGAAGAATATAACCCATTTTAAGCACATATTCATGGGCAGTTTTTGTCAGTACAGCCCATTCTGATCTTGATAATAATTTGATATGTCTATTTCTTTTATGATCATTATAATTTTGCTGTTTCATTCATCTTTTTTATAAACACAGCATTGATTTATTTCAGGTTCAAACTTCCTGGGACAGGTATGAGAGGCAGACCACCAAAACACATCGGTATGTTATTTAAATATGTTACTTCTTTATGTTTAAAAAATGTTTTGTATCTTTTGAATAAAGAAATGAATTAAAAATTGCATTAAAAATTACTTTTTTTCATTTTATTGACATGTTGGAGCTCAGATTTGCAGTTAGATTACCACTTTCCATCACACATAAATATTGGCATGAAATGTAACTAGCAATTTGGATAACAATAATGAAATACGCAACTTTATGAAAAGAAGGGCTATTTTATTAAATTCTTAACAAATATCCCCCCAATGCAATTTTAATCAACAGTTCCAATTGACAGAATTCTACCAGCATGAGCTCTTGATGCCAGGAGTAAATAAATCAGATAGCTATAAAAAAGTAATAAACCTTTTGAACCAGTATCTGCTTATTAAGGTTTTGCCTTTTGCCCTTTGAAAACCATTTCAGTGTTGTACTGCTTTTTTATTTAATGGTTTATCAAACAAAATCATTCAATATAGATGGTAACCTTGTCTTGGAAGAAATAAATGTGACTTTTGGTCATTGGCTATCATAAAATAGCTTAATCCACATTTATTGTATTCTTTCATTTTTTAAAAATAAATAATAATACTTAAAGGCAGAAACTGTGGATGTTAAATGGAATATGACAAGATTATCCATCTTGCCCGATCCTAAAGATCCTAAGAGATCCTAGAGATTATCCATCTTTAGCCGTCCCCAATATATGTTATATTAGCGAATTAAAAAAACATTCTAGCCCATTAGCTAACAGGTGGTGCATTTGACTCTATGCAATCGAGTTGGAGACTACTGCCATAAGATATTATTGTTTCTGTTGTAGAAAGTAACACATAATTGTTTGACTATATTTTCTGTTACTGTGATTTTCCTTTCTTATTCATTAATGCATTAGAAAATTATTTTAAACAACGATGTGCATGATAGAAATCATTCATAAGATAGAGATCTTATGAATGATTTCTATCATGCACATTGTTGCTCCTGATTGAGAGGGACCTGTACCTGTTTGCCCTTAAAATTGATCGAGTCTTGACTAAAATCTATGTCAAGCACAAGTTGTTGCTATGCCTAATTTTACGCATAATTCAACCATTTCGTAAAATAGCTAGTTATTTCATGAAATAACTAATAAAGTCAGTTAAGGAGTGTAATAAATTAATAATGTCACATCTTGACTAATTATTTCACAGAATAATTAGTTATTCTATAAATTAACTGAATTATACAGCATGTAATCCTTTCTTTGATTATTTTCATGATAACAGCTTTAGATCTGGCATCGCCTCTTTTTCTGTAGACTTTAGGTACAGGCTTCTCAATGAGATTTATATGACAATAAATTCTTCTTCTTAGCTTTGAATTCCCTGCCATTCATTAGAGTTTTTCTATGTCATTATGAATAACTCATTTCATTAAAACATAATTTGCAGATGTTCTGAGCAGCTATGTCCTCCAAAATGTAATCTTCTAAATACAGTAATTAGACAGGCTCATTACATTGCTACATTTTTTGTGAACAAACTATACATATTTTTCTGATGGCTTTATTTAGCCCTGTTTTTTAAACCAGCAACTCATTATCATGTTCTGAGATAATGAAGTGAATATTGAGTTCTGAGTATCTGACACAAAAGCTGCAATAAAGATAAGTTTAAATTAGCATAAATTACAAAAATGTTGCATATGTGATTGAATTTGGAACTGTAATTAAAATCATCCTGTACATCTCAATATAGTAGCTTATACTAACAACCGGAAGAATTGTTGTTATTTTATGCTTTAATGGAGTATCTATCATTATTTTATAAAATAATTATTGAAAGTGTGGAATTAGAATATATTACACACTTTACATAATAACTTGATCAACTATTTCATGAAATAACGAAGTATTTTATTAAATAAAGGATTTCATACTTCAGCAGTAACAGTAATAACTCTATGTATTTAAGAAATATTGTTTCCAAAATAGTTATAATGAGAAACTGAGAACAGGATTTTCATAAAATTTTCTTAAAAATATCAAGTATTCTTTATTCAAATTCATAATGTAATTAGGTAGCTTGTTTGTTCAAGCAGATACAGATAATGGGTTTGAATGTATATAAAATTCCGGAAATTGCGAGAATAAAAAGTAACAGAAAATGTTGATGTAAGTGGCTTTAAACTGAGATTTTTAAAATTATTTCTGGAATTGGTAGAAATTGTTTTAGGAGTATGATTTCAAAGCTAGTTAGACAAAATACAGTACAAAGTCTGAAATCTGGACATCCATTATCCGGAATGATCTGAAATCCAGACCTCAAAACCACCAACAACATTTTTCTCCTAGGTTTTACGCATGCACATTTGATTCCTTCCCTGCACACATAATAAAACATCTGGAGAGTACCGATTCTTAATTTCACTTTGACACTAAATAAAATACCTTGTTATTGAAGAAACAAACATTTTAGCATAAATTTGTACAATCAGTAATTTGGCTCTTTTGCTGCATATCTGCTTTTTGGCGAATATCTCAAACCAAAACATTCCACATAGATACATCATTGATCTGACACCAACCTGGCAAATCATTATTTAATATACTTTCCTTTCTTCACCACATATTTATCAAAACATGACAACTTGAGTAATGACTAGTGTAGCAATTCCTAAAAATTTTTTTTTAATGTTAGTAATTGAATAATAAAGGAGTATGGTAACTTTTTATGTTGACATTAAGCTTCACAATGATTACAGATTTAATGTTGATGAGGAAAAATTTACTAGAAATTTCGTTCCATATGCTAAAAGTAGATTTTGTTGAAGATACTCATAGACCCAAAGATTACATTTAGGGCTATTTGAATTAAGATTAACTGATTTGTTATTCACATAAACCCAGAACCAGCGCCAGGGCTCGTATGGCAGAATTTAGGACCAATAGAGACTGCATCAGGCGGTAAGATATCTAGTGCTGGCCCTCAATAAGGCTTATGTATTTGTGGTAATTTATTTATTCAGAACCCTAATAAGCCTTAAGCATGTGCAAGAAATAGACATAAGTATAATAACTAATACAATTCAGGCTTAGTTGTCTCAATGTGCGATAGAAGCAAGATAAAATTTAACAGAACAACTTGTCGTTAGTCGCCAAGCTAGCCAAATATGTGTAGTGAAGGATAGCTAAATTTGATGATGATAGCCTATAATTTTAAAGGTTTTCCGATATTGTAAAACAAAGGTGAAATTTTCCAATTAACGGATTTTGTAAAGAAATGTGGAGAAGCGGTAATAAATGAAGATGATATAAAAGAAATTTTTCATTGTGATGACAATGCTTCTCAATCATCAATCAATTAATGAATGGCAAAATCTGTAGTATGGTTCTATATCCTGAAAATACCGCTACCGATAGTGAAGAAAGTGACAGAGAAGTTACTGAAAACGAGAAAATTTCGATTGACAAGTTAGTCGGAATTCTCGAAACAGCAGTTACAGGACTTCAACAATTTAACTAAACAAGAGATTATGTCTGTCTACAGAATTGCAGAGAAAGTATTAGCACAAAAAATGGAGCAACTTAAACAACTTTCATTGAAAGAAATGTTTAATAAGGTAAACAAATAAATATTAACCTTTTTTTTTTTTGGTAAATTTTTGATACCCTTTAGATTATAAATACTTCATTATTTCATAAATCACGATTTCATATTTTTAATTTCTACATGCCATCTTACTAGATTTGAACTGATGATCTAATATCCGGAAAAATCCCAAATCCTGAATCGTCGAAGTTCCCGATGGTCTGGATTTCGGACTTTGTACTGTATATAATATAGAAATTTTCTTTTGAATTTAAACTATCCCAAGTTTTAAGAATGTATTTTGTTTTAGATTTTCTGTGTATTTTAATAATATTATGCTTTAACTATTCTGATGAACTCTGGTTATAACTGTTGTAATCTGTAAGATATTGTTAAAGAAACCCCTTTTGTTAATTTAACCTCTTGTTGCTCACTCATATTAGTATGGCAGACTAAGGCAATACTTTCTTTCCCTTGATATTTGTGGGCTGAAATATAAAAGAAGTTACATATCAGATGAAGCAAAATTCAGTATATCATAACAGGTAAAAATTTGTGGTGTTCTAAGTCAAGGGAAGTAGATGGCAGCAGTAGCATATACATGATTTTAATCACGTTTCATTGAAAATCCTGAAATTCTTCAGTAAAAAATAGTACACATGTCATATTTTTTACAAAAGTAAATGTTAAGAGGTTAAAGTTAATATAATTTTTGTAGTTACTAAAATTAATATGCATTTTATTTTTTTTAACAGCCGAGTTAAGACTAGAAGCTCTGAGAAAGGCTCAGGCAGCAAGTGAGAAGAAAACAGATTTGGAAGAAAAAGTTCACGATTCTGTTTTCAACGTTCCATTTACGATAGCTCCTAAAGAAATGCCTCTTTCGTGGGAGCATAATACTCAATTAATTCCTGGACTTAATTCTATTAAAGGCAGTGCAGTAAGAGAATGGTCTATAAACCAAGTTGCCAAATTTGTTTCATCTCTAAAAGGATGCATAGATCTTGGAAAACTATTTAGAGAGCAAGTAAGTGTTTTGTTTTATTGATAGTTTTTATTTTTTCATGTATGTGTGAAACTGTGACTTTTCCACCCTCAGAATATTGTTTGTTTATATTTTTGTATGGAGAGACACAATTTAAATTTAGAATTATGCTATGTTCAACTTATAAACATTGAATCTGATTGGACAGTTGAAGAAGACTAGAATAATCAGATTATTACAGCATAGCCTGATGTTACAATTAATAATGCAAGCTATACAATAAAACAAATAATGCAGAAATAATGTAAAAATATGTACACTATATACAAAATTCAGTCCATGAAGCAATTGTGATCACTATCAGTGAAAAGGTGAGCTGCCAAAGGTCTAGTAAGCCTGCCTGCATGCAGGATTTCATAGTTGAAAAATTTGCGAGTAGTTTACATAGTCACTAGTGAAAGCTTTGTTGAAAAAACAATCATTTGTTCTTTGCAAATAAGTTCTTCAGTTTTGAGCTCCTTGTGGAGGAGAGCATTTCTGGCAAAATAATGTGCATCTGTAATAATTCTAAGGAATTTATTTTGTATGATTTGCAATTGGTGAATTTGCCGGTCAGTGACTATTCCCAGCTGGAGCCGAATAGCAGAGAATTGGTCTAATACAAACAGTGTAAATATCTGCGACTTAATGCATTACATTCTCCTAGACTTAATTTAGAAAATCTGCCGATAACTAGGAGAAATCTATTTATAATAGCACACATTTATAAAACCTTGCTGGGAATACTGTTAATGTGGTCATGCCAAGTAAGATTTTGATTGAGGATGATTCCCAGGTATTTGGCTTTAGTAACAATGGGAACAATTTCACTGAACAAAATTAGGTTTCTGTAATTCTTGTTTCTCTTAATTGTCTTGGAGAGGCTAAGTAATCAAGATTTACTGGCATTTATTTTAACCCACCAGGTCTTACACCAGTTTTCAATAGAGCTTGCATAATTCTGAAGTTTAAAGATGGCATGTTTAGCGTTAAAAGGCTTGATAGGGATAGCCGTATCATCACCGTAACAGGCTAATAATGAGTAGTTTACAAGACTTGGGTGAGGAAAATCAGAGATATAGTACAAGTAGAGAAGCGGACCGACGATACTTCCTTGGGGGATGCCAGATTTTATGTGCCCTTGTCTCGAGATGATATTTCCATAAGCGACAACGAGTGTACGCTGCCTGAGAAAGGAAGTAATGAGGACAATCAGGTCTCGATTCAGCCCAAGGTGAATTCATTTGTAAATGAGTCTCTCATGCCAGACACATTATGCTATGTTTTGGATGTGTTCTTATTATATAGTAGCATTTCTCAAGGGCCAGCTCTAACATAGACAGCTGTCTAGAATTCCTGTTAAGTTGTCCCCAAAGGTAACAACTAAGTAAAGATAAGTAAAAAAATATGTTGATGTGCATTATTAATATATTTAATTTGTATGAATGCCAACAGTAATGATCACCAAAAATATTGAATCTGGAAAATATGAATTAATTTTAGGATATATGTTAGTAGCACTCAAGGAAAAGAAGCAAAATTACCATGATAAGCAAGTAAAATAAAGAACTAACTCGAAACAAATCAGAAAGGTATAAGTTTAATGAACAACTATGAATAGTGGAAGGGTTTGAAATTATTAATAGTTATCACTAAACAAATGTGAAATTAAAACAGAAGGGAGCATTTTATTGATCAAAATAGTTAACATTAAGACAGAAATTAAGGTTACTTCAGAAGCAAGAAAGTGACTGTAGATAAGTTTGTTTCACTGCTGTATACAGCAGTAATTTATGGTATGCTTATATAATATTTTTTACTATTTGCATTACATTCTCCTAGACATGTTTTTTTCTTATACTAAAGGAAACTTAATTGTCTGTTTCTTTGATATCAAGTAAGCAGATCATCCAAATTGAAGTTTGCCCTTTTAAATTTAGTTATCCCATTTTTAAATGCGTGCTATGTGATATTTTCCCCATTCAGATCTTTCTTCTACATTACTTGCCGATTATGTGGCCAGTCACCTAAAAAATATTTGAAAAAGATATATATATATATATATGTATAATGAGTCCAATTAATGTAATTTCATGGATTAGCTAGTCCTTAATAATAATAGAAATCAAAAACTGCATTTATTGCTCTCAAATCACTTACTTTATTAATAAGTAGAAAACAAATTAAATTTGAAAGAAAAATTAATATCAACAGTTTATTTTGATATAGTTTATGAAATTTTTATTGATCCTGCATCATCATTATTTTTCATGTACAAATTGAAATATAAACTTAGAAAAAAAAAATTAATTGGAACTTTAATAAAACAAATCTCATTTCCTTCAGTTCTAGTTTTACAACCGAAGTAAAATTATATATTACAAGTATTTTACATTTAATTAGAACTCAAATCATTTTAAGAACATTCGAAAGAAAATTACTAATTTTTTGATGCTATGAAGTTGATTCGGAACTTTTATATGACTTTTATTAATCTTATGTAGAGTTTATTTTGTTTATATTTGCTTTATTACAGTTTTTGGTCCAATATGAAATTGAATTTTAGCTATATCATTTTGGGATGTATCTCGTATCTAGTTTTGGAGCGTACTCATTCTTACTTAAGTACAACAGTAGAATTCTGATAATCTTACCAGAGGTTGTAGAGATTAGGAAATTTTGTACATTTGTCATTGGTTATAATTTGCCCCTTTCTAAATTTTACATTAGATTTTGGTTAATTGCACACACAACTAGGTAACCAAACTCATTTCATAAAAATTATTTAATGAAGATTTATTGAATACAATACAATTTATTTAAAACACAATTAATTATTTGCAAAGAAATTTATGTTACTTCAAGTTCCCTCTGTGATAGGGGAAAAAAAAAAAAAAAAAAAAAGAGGGGGGATAAAATTGCAGTGGCAATTTTTGAATGAGAACTCTTTTGTAAAAATGCTTCAACAAATTTAACTAAAAAACAATTGAATAATTCCCTGAGAAACTACTTTCAAATTAGTGTTTATGCTGTTAAATGGGGAGGGAGGAGGGAATACATAAATACACTGTTTACAAAAGCTCCCCAGATGTAAAGTTTTTTAAAATTCATTTTTACACATCTGCTGTTATGTTCTGTGCTTGTGCAAATACTACTAATACAAACACTATTAATGCTGCTAACAGTTAACAAAGGTGTTAGAATTTAGATTTTGTATTTATAAAAGAAAATTTTCTTTTATTTTTCTATAGCTATATACCAAAATATATTCACCTTGTTTGTCCACTTTTTTATGTCCCCCCCCCCAAAAAAAACAAACCTGTTGTTGTTAAGAATTTATTCTTATTCTCTGCAGATGTAAACAAGTCTGCTTATTGCATGAAACATAAAACAAATCCTCTAGAAGATGAATTTAAGTTGGAACTCAACATGATTCCAGTTGAGAGAACAAATACGTATTAATTTGCACGTATTAATCACATAAACTTTGACTTAATTTTTAATAGACATTGGACTATATATTCAAAAGTTTAACTCACTTTTTCAGTCAAATGTGCTATAATTTAGTGTATTTTTGTTAAAAAGTTTTATTGCATAGGCACATAAGAAAAGATTGCCATTAAATTTGCCACTTTTTCAGTCAAATGTGTTATAATTTAGTGTATTTTTGTTAAAAGTTTTATTTCATAAAAGATTGCCATTAAATTTGCCGTGTTGAATTTTATAAAGATTGAAATTTCATTTGTTTGAATCCAAAAATGACCACAGATTACAGCCTTTCACAGTTTAAGCAGTTGCAGTTAATCAGAATTCTATTGTATGACAAATGTGTATAATGTATATTATTAAATGTAATTAAATGAAAGTTGTAAAATAAATGTCATATAATTTTTGTTTCTGTGTTTCAGTTAATTGATGGAGAAGCTTTACTTGAATTGACACAATCTGATTTACTTGATCATTTGCATTTAAAACTTGGTCCTGCACTTAAAATTTACAGCAGTATTATTGCTTTCAAAGAATCTGAAAAATTTGATTCTCCAGAAGAAACTGCTTAATGAGATTCAAAATGTGAGTGATGCTCAAAAGCTCTCTAGATATATTTGGTTTCATTGTCCATAAATTTGCTCAAAAATGCTAAATGTGTCATTGATAGAAGACTTGTTTTTCCCTTTTTAATTTATGCTGAATGAATAAAGGTAAATGTCATGTATGTAGACATGGTTGCATGCTGGGCTGGAAGCTTGAGTATGTATGTTATTTAGAGGTTTGAAATAGCTGAAAGTTGGAAAGGAGTAATTTATTTTTTTATGCTAATAACATGTTTATTGATTGCATTGAAAGAGCAGAAAAAAATAGAAACTGGAGAAATTTTGAAGAGAAACGTTTTGAATTGCCTCTTAACAGTATTGTTTGAGAGCTAATTAAGAAAAAAATGTTCCCTCCAGTTTCTAAATGTTGACAGTTTAAATTGATGGTTGTAATAATTGTTAAGATCTCATATCAGTACCACTATTCATTTGTTGTGCTGATTGTGCAAAATACTTGAAATGTTTTGTGATATCAAAAGAAATTAATACATGTTGTTTATTTTTAAGTTAATATATTGTATTGGTTAAGTGCATTGTATAGTATATTTTTGCAGAATGATCTGGTTTGTGTATTTTGAAGAAATTCACATTTTAAATGCATTTTTTTTTTCAAAACTTTCACTATACTTTAATTTTCCATTATATATTTATTTCAATAGGAATGAATTCTAGCATTTTAAGAAATATATTTGTCTTTTATTATAGTAATTCAAAATAATTTGAAAAATACAACTGATATTCTGCATATATCTCCCTTTTCAATAATGTTGATTTCTGTAGCCATTAGTTGTGTTAAAACTGTTTTTATCCTAGAAAAGACCGAAGAAAAAAATCAAATTTTTTATCTGTATGGATTGGCATGTTTGTAATATTTTTGTAAATACAATTATTTTAAAATTATGAAAATATTTTTAGAGAAAACTAACTTTACAATACTTGTGAGGATTTCATCCTTCCACGTGGCAGTTGTAATTTTAACTTTTACATTCTCATCGAGCTTTCTTTATAGTTATTTTATAATTTATGATTTATGTATGTTATTGTTTTATAATCTGTGTAGGGCTACTTTAAAAATTTATACATGCAGAGCAATAATTAATTTCTTCTGTATTATTGTTGTCATTGAATTCTTTCATTGATTGCACTTTTTGACACACTTTTCATTGATTCTTTCATTGATAAGCTAATACATGAAATATGTAAAGTAAAATTCAGCGTATTACTATAATGTAACTGTTTTTTTTTTTTCCATTTATAAAACTTCCAATAATGAATATCAAAAGAAACAGTTCTGAATTTTATTAATAAATTTAACTCTATGGCATTTCTTGAAAAATAGCTGTATTCTGTTCTTATTCTTGTTTCTGCCTGCCACTTTTTTTTTCTCTTTAAAGCAAAATCACATTCTGTTGATTTGCTTGAAATTGCCTTCCACAGTGTTGAACTTCCACAGTATGCTGAATAAGACTGTGGCAGATGGTGCTTGCTGTGTTTGTAAATTAATGTAAAATATGTATGATTTAGTAGCATGAAGAATGTAGAAAAAGGTTAAATTCTGTAGCTTGCAGAATAATTTAACTATGTTTTTGTTTCTTGCGTTGTATCAATATTAATTTTTCCTGTGGAATTAATAATTAAAGAAACTGCATAATCCAGAATTCAGTGATCAGCTGGTATTGTTTTGTATAAAATTTGACATGGCTTACATTTTTGAAAAATTAAGAAACTTCATTAATTATTGAATTTCTTTAGTGCATGAAAGTATTTTTAAAAGCAATATTTATTGAGCCTTAATTTGAATGTCAAAAACTAAAACATTTAGATTGCAAGTGACCGCTGTTAATTTAGCAGCTGTACTGAAATTCTAATTGATAAATATTTTCATCCTTTTAATTACATAATTATATTTCTATATTATAAATCATACAAATATGAACAAGGAATAAAAATTCATGTGTAGAAAATGAGACATTAAATTTTTGGCAAAATTCAGTCTTAGATTGTTCTGTAAAAAAGCTCTAATTTGTTCTGTAAAAAAGTATTTTAAGGAAAATGGGCTGAGAGTATAGTTTGTTTAAGGAGCAAACATTGTGATGTGCTTCTTTTCTACAGAGAAATTAAAGTAGTCCATGCATAAATGTCCATTTGTATAAAAAATAACCACAGTATATTATTGAGCTGTAAATGGACTGGACATTCGTGGATTACTTATTTGGGTATTTACGTATTAGCACAAACAGCTCAGCACAGTTTAGCAGTTTTTTTACAAAAGAAACAGTATGATGACTTGCCAGAAGTTATTTAGCGTATATGTATTTTGCATTCTAATTACTAGTCAAGTATTTATCCTGAAAATCAGTCAATAAACCAATTCATACAAATTTTTTGTTAGTATTTGTAGTCATTATCCAGTTCTTTTACAAATATTCCACTTTTTTACAAAATACTTCCTCAGCATCGAACAGTTAATCATAGAAAGGAATACAAAACTTACTACGCAAAAGTCACGATCGGTAACCGAAGAGAATGGTTGTGAATAAGATGAAAAAGTATTTAAAACTCACAAGCGCAGAAATATAAAATATGGGTATAAGTGATATATAGTGATGATATTTAAAATGATGATGATGATTTCAAGAATTTGAAAAACACTCAAAATATCTTAAAAGCATTAATAGTGACAATGACTTTGGGGGGATGTAAGTTTGATCCAAAGCATACTCTGTTTAGGGATTTTGCAATATTTTATTTGTGCAGAAATTTTACCACAATTTTTACTACAAGCACATATTTTCAAATAGAGTTTTAACACCCTCCCCCGAAAAAAAACCACTTTGCCTGTAAAAATAATTTAAATTCGGAATTTAACAAAAATAACATATATGAAAATGGCGATATTGCTTGTTTAAAACTAAAGAAATAGTGCATTCTGAATGCCAGAGTTTGTTGCATTCTGCAAATTTGGCAACATCTATTAGTGGTTGCACTACTTCAGGGATTCCCAACCCTATGCTGGCAGGTACCATGGCACCCGCCACTGTGCAATCACAAAAAAAAAAAAAAAAAAAAAAAAAAAAAATGTTTTAGTTTCAATAAAATTCTATGTAAAAGTTTCTCATTTTTAATAAAATAGAAATTGTGTCTAACACAGATATATAAGCACAAAGTGAAATGCAACCAAACCTTTTTTTTTTTTTTTTTTTTTTTATGTGCATGGATTATTAACTCTATCCAACTGTAAATTCCCCCTTGAAAAAGTAAATGGTGCCCACTGCCCAACAGATATTCTAGAATGTGCTCTTAGGGACAAAACTGTTGGGGACCTCTGTGCTAGTCCATTAATTACCCAAATTTGTTACAAATTACTGACACAGTATCTCTAAATGTATTGCAACTCTAGTTGACATAGAGGTTAGTTAGAGCTTACTACTTCTTGATGGGCATGAATTTCAAATATTATGTACAGTATTTGTTACCATAATGATCTTTTGGAATAATGGTATTTAAAATTCTAATTGGAAAGTCTTCTCTTCTTCAAGAGGAAGAGGACAAGACACTTTGATTTCATTTCTTGAATCCAATTAATTATCTTAAAATATCTGTGAATTATAATATGAGTGTAATTGGCTAAAGCAAAGATGTTCATTGAGTATTTTTATTTCATTATAAAAATATTCAAAAGCTGCAAAGTTGACAAGAAAATGAGAATTGCATTTTATCTCAGGAATTGTATAGCCATAACAGTCAAACTATGATCACTGATTATTCTGGATATCATGCATTCATTCATTCATGTTCTCTTGTCATCATGATTGTTCCAACAGTTTGTATAACCAAGTGCTTAGCTTTGTTTTGTGAATGTTTCAAGTGTATGTGTTTCAACATGATGTATTTATGTGCTATGTCCGATTTTTCATAAAAAATACTGAACATATGATACATAATAAAATAAAAAGTGCAGTTGTTTTAAACTGTTACCAGAAGCTCAAAGTACTATTTCATACATCTTAATTTTGCTTTTTCTATAAATGAAGTTTTAGAGAATTATAAGATGCTTTCATAAGCATAAAATCTTATTTTTGAGTAGCCTGTTCTTTCATGCATTCCACCTAAAAAAACGCCAGTTAAAAAAGTGTCTTAATACTGTTTTATTTTCAAAGATGAATAGCTACAGGGAAAGTTTTTATCTTTGAAAATAAAACTAAATGTGTATTAAACATTTTGTACTTTATGGCAATAAATTTATGTTGTTTGTAAAAATAGAGCTCATATGATAAATGCATAATGAAAAATATGTCTTATATATGAAAAACTTGACACCCAATTCTAAAAGTTGCTTTAGAAAAGTAGAGCATTAACTGCAAATGTGAAGGTCTAAGTTATTTTAATACAATTCGCAAAGACATTTTTTTTTTTAAATATCTCGTTGCAAAATATCACTTGAAAACTCAACAATATTTTGAGAGGTAATAGATGAGTGCCAATTTTACATTTTGTACTGTACAAATATTTATATTTTAGTATTGTCCGTATTGAAAAGTATTCATATTATAAGAAAATGTATAAATGATAAAATAATCTATAAATTTGATTTTAACAATATTATTTTTTATTTCAAAAGAATTTTTGCAATAAATTATGTAAAAGTTTCCCTGGATATATAATCTGAGTGATTTGAATTTGTTTATTTGATTTCCAGCTGTTTTTATATTTGAATTTTAAATTTTCAAAAACTTGTAAAGCTGACTTTTAAAATTCTTGTTGGAGGTTAATAAAATTGCAAAGAAATTTTATGGGAATAAATCATAAAGAGTATTCATTTTCTTTATTATTAGCTTTAAGAATAGATTTAGAAAGTAAGTTTTAATAACATTAAAATACCCAGATTTAAAGAAGTTAAGTTTTAAAGAAGAAAATCGATTTGGTATTTTCTGAAGTGGAGGGTAGAGATTAAAATATTAATTAGACTGAAATTTTTCTTTTTATTGTTTTGTATTTACAGGTATAAATTTAAATGTTCATTGGAGAGTAGAACTAAACTATAGAAACATTAGCATGATAGATAAATTAACTTTCTTGATATTCTTTGCCTGAAGTGAAGCTTAAAGTTATGTTTAAAATGAATATTACTACTACAAGTATAAAAAATAATTTGTAATGTAAGCTGTTAAGAATATAGAGTAGTATAATTAATTTTTTTTTTCCAAAATTTTCATCAATTGGGGAAAAATTTTTCTATAAAATAGGCACTTGGCCTTACTGGTCCTTCCCTCATCTACAATCATAGCATGGGTCATCATCACAGTACAGTAGAGATCAGGATTCATTGAATGAATTAAATATTCCTGGAAATATTTGTACCTCTTTTTTTTTCTCGCCCTCCCACCTGTCTACATTTTTACTTTAGCCAAAAGAATATTGCTAAGTACTAATCAGTAACTTTAAATCTATTTAGGTCGTACAGAAATGAATGACACAAGTGCTGCCATAGAGCAAAATACAATTTATTAAAAGAAAACTGATAGTACATCAGTTAGAAATAATCCCCGGCCATGTCAATACATTTCTGCCATCTGGCTGGGAGGTCCCGAAGGGCTTTGGTAAACCAGTCTGTGGGAATGTTGGTGCACCACCTATGGACAGTTGCATGCAATTCGGCAGAAGACTCAACATGTTGGCCCGTGACTGCATCCTTCATGCTGTTAAGCAAGGCATAGTCCGAGGTCTTGGTTCGAGGTCCGAGGTCCACCCACTTTGCACACACATTTCTCATCTCCAAATGACTGTGCACAATCGCCTGCAATGTTCTTTGCACAATCCCTGTCTCTTCCTGCATCTTGTAGAACGTTATACACTTGTTTGTCATGATCAAATCCGACGTGGCTGCCCCATTAGCTGCTGTATGCGATGTTGCTGGTTGTCCTGTGCTGACCCTTTAGCTGCGGTCTCCACTCCATTGCTGAACATGGCCAACCAATGGGATACTCTATGCCTTGAGGGTGCTTTTTTCCCCACACACCAACACCATACGACGAAGGATCTCACTACCCTTCTATGCCTATCTTCACTATCTCACTTCCCTATTCCTTCCTTCCATAGGAACCACACTGTCCATCGCTGACCGTGATAATCGCCTTCCATTATTGCTATCCACGGTCTCGATGATGATGGTGAAAGGGTCGGGAGCTGACTTAATACCGTTCGCTTGCGGCCAGCTCCATCTATGCATTCTGAGTACCTCACGCTCCCTTGTGTCTATTTCACTCGTTTTCCCTTCGCATAGTGTAATAGTTTCATTGTGAGAGCTTTTGTCTCAATCATTTCTATACGATTCAAGTAGTTTAAGAAAAATAAAAAAAACTATCATATTTGGATGTGATAAATTTGAAGAGTAAGTATTTTAACTATTCTGCATCTGCACTAAGACCATGATTTTTAGCAAATTATTTATCATTTGTTATTTATTACATTGTTTAAAGTTGAAGAATATAAAATTTTTGTCCATTCTGAAACTCCATTAAAACCAAATTTTTATGAATTTGAATAGTGTTAAAATTAAAAAACAATGCATTGAAAAATTTCTATCTTTTGATACATCACTGTTATTGTTATGTATAAATATGTTCTCAGATATTATAGTTTCTAAATTTGAAATACTCTGTATTTTGTTAAGCATGCTTAAAGACATATTTGAAACTCGATAAATTTTCTGAAGTGGTGCCTTTTTTTTTTTTTTTTTTTTTTGTTTGGTTTATATTAAAAGAATTTTTTCTTGTCATTTGATTGTCTTGCTTTTAGACAATGACAATTTAGGATCTGTAAATTTATCACCAATTTTTTTGCGGGGGGGGGAGGGGGCGGTGGACAGTGTAAAAATATAGTTCAAAGTATTCATGAAGTGCTCCATAAGTCTGAATTTATAATTGCCTTCAGATATAGTTATGTTATTTTGAACTTTTAATTATTTTCAGTCTGTGTAAGACTTGTAGCCTATAGTTTTTATTTTTAAACCTGGGAAATGTTTGATGGAATGCCGGGATGATCTAAATCATTTGAAATTGTATGAATAATTTGTTAGATTTGTTTATTTAATTTTTCTAAAATTTTCATTGCAGCTTAATTTTATTTTATAAATACATCTCTTTCCAGATTTACAAATGCAAAACCATTTAAAATATGTAGCTAAATGCAACTTTGATTTGAGCTGAATATTTTTCTATTTAATTTTCTGATGCAAGGTTGTTTAGTTTTAAATTAACTTATGAATAGCAAACAAAAATGTTACACGTAAAAAATATAATTCTAGAGTTTAATTATAATTGCATGTAATATTTCTAACTTTGTGTACATGTATTTTACACTGCTGGCCGTTTTTAGTAATAATTTTATTTTACTTATATTTGCAAACACTGTAGATTTTTAAAATAAAAAAATAATGTTGAAAATACAAATGCAATTGTAAAGATGTTTATATGCATTTCAAACAGTGTGTATATATATTTTATTTTCAAAATATTTCAGTATAATAATTTGAATGAATTTATATATAAAATTTCTTTCCTTTTCCTTTTTTTTTATTGTTGTTATTATTTGGTGTAGACAGTACTCTTTTCTGTAAGTGAAAAATAATTATATTATGCAACATAAAATAATTATGTAATATATGCAGGCAGATGTCCGAGAGAAAAATTTTTAATGAAATATATTATTAAAATAATTTGATTTTAGTTTTAAGAGCTGTAATAGTTGTATTTTAAATTACAGGAATTTCAAAATGGGTTGCATACTATGTGGCAAAGAAAGTTGTTTTGTTTCATTTTGAAACATTTGCCCTCGAAAAAATGTCCTGTTTGTGTTTTATATTCATATACATTTTATTATTTGTTAGATTTTTTGGAAAAGATGTATTTGAAGATTAATCTAACATATAGAATTAGTTTTCTTAAATTCAGTTAGTTTTTTTAGTAAGATTTATAAAAATGAAAAAAAAAAAAAAAAAGAAAAAAAAAAAAAAAAAAAGAAAACTTGCAGAAGTTGTCATATTTGTTCAGGAATATTTATTGATTAGATCGCTCATACTTTTTCATTCATTCTTAAACTAGGTAATTATCATCTGTTCGTCATGTAAACCTCTTGTTAAATTTGTATGCTTTTACTTTATAGTGTCAGAAATTTCTTAGCTTCATTGCCATAAAAAATTTATTTATTTTTTGGTGTATCATTTTCTGTATTTCATATGAATTTCATTCCATCATTAGCACTGAATATGTGTTATTTTTGTGTTGAATGACTTTTTTGTACAAAAATGTGAATTAAAAGTATGAATTCTTATTATGATTGTTATATGTGTATTGCATTTTTTTCTCTGTTGATTAATTGAATATCTGTATTTGAAATTGATTTGAACTTCTTAATTTATTTTTTAAGAATTATGGGCAAATGGAAACAAACTTTGAAGCTAAAAACCTTTTCTATTAATAACTACTGGAAGACCTTCTTTTACAATTCTTTCTTTTTAAGCTAGAAATTTAAACAAAACTAATAATAAAATTTGCTTCAAAATAAAAGCATCCTAAATTAAATTATAAATATTGAGTTCATTCATATTCCTGAACATTCTGCAATATTTTTTTTTAAATTGCAACATTTTTGCTGTTCGGAGTTCAGCTGATGAGGAACTTTCACTTGTATTTTAACTGTTGCGATCATAGGTTTGTTTGGTATAGAAGACCTAATAGGTTGTTTAACTATCCTTGATGCATCTGTCTGATGGCCCAGAGATGATTACAGTGGGAGAGACCTTTTAGGATCTCCAGCTTGATCTGGATTTGTTAACATTTGAGTTTGAAAGTGCAGAGGTAGTTCTGAGAAAAAGACATTTCATACTTAGACCATTTGTCTAGTTTGTGCGTTCTCTTACTTCGGGGACACAATATGCCACGAAAACACTCCAGTGGGAATCTTCTTTTGTCCGAGTCAGAACTACAGATGAGTCAGTGCAAAAGTAAGCTTGGCACTTTGCCAGTTTATGAGCGTCAACAATTTTACAGTACAAATGAGTAGCTATAAGTGCTTCAAGGAACTCTAAGACTAATTACTTTTTTCGCTGGTGCTACTCATGCTTTACCTAGTAGTAATTGTACCAAAGCTTTGCCATCAAAAGATGCACATAAAAAACTGCATAAACACCTTATTAGCATCACTAAAACAATGTACAGTAATAGAGCATTCATCAAACCATTCCAGTCTCAAGAATTGAAATTCTACAATATTTCAAGAAATAAACACTTAGTCTCTCCACCTTCCTAATAAAAAAAAAAAAAAGAAAGACAACTGTTCAATATATCTTGTTCTACAAGGTGGGGCAAATAAAAGTGGCCCAGAGAACATAGTTACTCTGTTTTTCGGGCCACTTTTATTTGCCCTACTCTATATTAGGATGGTTGACGAAATTCAACTTTTATATCTCATGCCTCGAGAGTGTGACTTGCAAACATTAATCTAACATATGTATTTTGACACAAAATCAGATTTTTCTGAAATGATGTGACAATGTTTTCATATATTTTGATTTGTTGTAAAATTTGGTGTCAGATTTAATAAGTAATTCTGAAATTTAACTTGCAGCACTTTCTTCATTTTGTTTCAAGAATAATTCACTTGACAAAGAAGAAAACCAATTTAAATTTTCCTTTCATTCTGAATGAGTAGAGGAAAAAAGTTTCATTTTTTTTGTTTCTTGCATACTGTTTAACCACATTAGCGAGAGCAGTTTGGCTAAGAGCCAAGATGGGTCAGTTTAATTGAAAGGGTGTGGGTGAAAAGCATGGGTGTTTTTCCCTCTCGGAGATCGTAGCTGTTGTAACAGCTTTAATATCATTATTAATCTCTTGTGCATTTGAAACAGATGAATAATAAATAATGTACAGGTTATTGGCAATATTGAAACGCAGGCTCGAGAGCCATTTTCTCGCACAAAGCAGTGTAATTATTTTTTTGAAATAAGTTTTTATACCTTTTCTTTTGTTTGTGTGTCGCCATTTGTTTGAGTGTAAAATAAAAGTTATTGCTGTGCTCCATCATTGGAATTTACTTCAGATTGTTTAAGAAGTATCACAGGGTGTGGGTGAAAAGCATGGGTATATTTTCCTCTTGGAGGTCGGGGGTCATTTAATGCTTTTTCTTACAATCGTTGAGCATCGCTGTTACTGACCTTCTTTTACTTTCAAATCTTCATTTTTTACGATGAATATTCTAGCGTTCCAGAAAGCTCTAGAAATAAAACCTTTCCGCAGCAATTTTAAGAAATTAGTGTGTAACATGATTAAAGTTTGTGATGAAGATTCACAATTAGGAAGACTGACCATCCCAGTTATGCAGCCAAAAATGTAAAGGGGGCATGTCCAATTAAAACTAAAATAATTTTTATGCAACCTCTTCTCATTAAATTACTTTATTTTATTTATAGATCATTTGATTATATTAATAAATGTAATTTATTAAAGAATATTTAACAGATAAAAGTTTTCAATGTTTGAAAATATTAAAAACTAAGATGCATTATCTAAATTATTATTAATTTAATTGTTATCTATTAAATTATTATTAAATTAATATTATCTATTAAAATATTTATAATCTGATGATAAATTATATTAAGACAAATAGTTTACTATTACAGTTCTTTTCATGGGTTTTCTTTGAAATGTCACAATCTGATGTTTCTATGCATTTTATTTAATTCTATAATTTAAAAATTTCACGGTACATCAGCTTAAAATGTATAAAGCGCAGACAAAAATTTTCTGTTGCGCAACACTCGAAAGGTAGAGCGTGAAATAAAAGAACCGTTTAAATCTAAACCCGGCTACTGCACTCACCCCGGCTACTGATAGATGTGCCCACTTCGGCCCCAAACTGGATGTTTACATAAATCTGGAATATGTGGTCAGACAGTACAATATTTTTTATTCATTATTATATTTTTTTGCTCATAGCTGTCACGAAAAATGTAATGAGATAATTGAAGTTGATGGAGTGTAAGCAATTATAAGGATGTGGTACCCTCGGTGGGATGGGTGGTTTTGAATCTAGACCTTTGCTTGGAGTTTTTTATGCTCCCTGGAGCTGGATTTGGCTGTGCTTTGACACAGAACAGAAGGGACTGAGAACGTCATTTACTGTCATTCTGAAAAAAGAAAAAATTGAAAATGACCTGATTATAGATATAAATGAAGATACAATTTTAAAGCTGCAACTTGCTGATAAGTTTCAAAGACTTGAAGGTTGTCAGTCAGAAACCGCTGAAAGTTTACCGAATACTGAAGATGGTAGGGAAGTGTACACCAGCGACTTTGAAGAAGCCAAAACCTACAGCACGCTAAACTGGAAAAGTGGTTGCAAGAATCTTCTGCAGCTAAAAGTTGTATGTGAGGGAATGAATTGCTGAATATTGAACTGAAGAAATTTTCGGGTTACCAAAAGGATTACTTCGCCTTCTGGAGCCTGCTTCAGAAGATTCATGAAGACAAATCTCTACCTGATAAAGATAAGATACAATATCTGGTGCAGTCTATGGAGTCAAAGTTGAACGTATAATTCAGAGTTTTCTAGCAACAGTGGAGAATTATTCAAAGGCCATCAAACAGTTAAAAGAACGATTTGTAAGAGGTGATTTGTTGATCCAGATTACGCTTGTAAGATTATGGAGAATGTCGTAAATGGACGAACCGAAGCCGATTTGGTAGCCTTATATGATGACATGGAAGCCCAACTGAGATCTTAAGGAATAACGCGATCTTAGGAATCCAATCTTAGGAAGTTTGGCAATTTTCTAATTCCATCAGTGGAAAGCTGCCTCTCGGAAGAAGCTCTGCTTACCTGGGAAAGAAGGAGAAATTCTGAGTCAAGTGATTCCAAGAGTTCCCGTACTTCAGACCAGATGATGAATATTCTTCGAGAAGTTCAAGGTAAAGAAATGGTGTCATCAGCAAGAACTGGGCTGGGTTATCAACTTAATTTAAAAAAGGAAAAGTTCTATTCCGGGAAAAACTGAAATAAACCGATCTTGCGACAGCTTCTGCATACAGGTAACAATACAGGTAAACGACTTAATTGTATTTTTTGTCATAAGTTCCATCCCTGCGAAAGGTATCTTAAGGAAGGAAAAATGAATTTAAGTGATTATTGTTAGATGAAAGGTATGTTTTTCATGTCTTAAAATAGCAGGTCATTTGCAAATTTTATAATGTTAAAAATCAGTTCCACTGCTTTCTCGGTGCACTAATTCTCATTTTTGATATAGTGTATCCTAATAAATAAGGGAAAAATAATACAGTACAAAGTTCATAATCCGGACTCGTCGGGACTTCGGCGATTCCGGATTAGGGGTTTTTCCGGATTATAGATCATCAATATAAATCTGGTAAGATGGCATGCAGAAATTATACAATTAAAAATATGAAACCGTAGTTTATGAAATAAAGAGCAATTATGATCTAAAGGGTATCAAAATTAAAAAAAAAAAAAAAAAAAAAAGCTTAATATTTATTTGTTTACTTTAGTAAACATTTCTATCAATGTAAGTTGTTTAAGTTGCTTCGTTTTCTGTTGCTGTTAAGTTGCTTTCTGTTTAATTCTATAAACAGACATAATTTCTTGTTCAGTTACAAAGTTCCACTGTTCAAGTCCTGTAATTGCTGTGTCGAGGATACCGACTAACTTGTCAATCGAAATTTTTTCGTTTTCAAAAACGTTCTCTGTTACTTTCTTTACTATCGAAAGCGCGCATGAGTAAACGCTTTACTGGCTTTACGCGCATGCGTAAGTTTGTGGCTTTGAGGTCCGGATTATAGATCATTCCGGATAATGGACGTCCGAATTACGGATTTTGTACTGTATATGTAAAACAGAGGATGCTCTCTCTGATTACAGTAGAAACGAAACTGTTTATATGCAGACTCTGCTTAGTTATTCGGGCTTAAGGTCAAGAGCGCAAGATTCGCGCCTGATGAGATTCGACTAGCCAAAATAGTTAGTTACCTAAGCGAAAGAATTATAACATTATCGAGTATTTTTCCACTTCGGAGTGAAATTGTAACACACGCGTTATTTGGGGTGGGGGAATGAAACGACACTCAAGTATTTTCTGTCGAAGTTCGTGATTTAAGTCGTATAGTTTTAAAGCTCTCTGGGAGAAGAGGATACGCGGGTTTATTCCGAAAGTTGATGCTTTGATTGTTTATTCTGGTGCTGTTATCGGATCAATCAATGAATTCCCTCAAGAGGCCTCACTCTTAAAGGTTCTTCGCAATGTATGAGCATTAAAGATG